TTTTTCGGGGAGGGTTCCCCTACTCAAATAGACTACACAAAAAAAGTTGGTGCCCTTATTCTAGCCTCTCTACTGGATAGACAAGAAACCCGCGGGAGAAGCCAACCGACTTTCTGAAGCCAAAGAACCCACTTTGGGGGCGCTTTGGCTTTCGAGCAACCGTGTCCTGGAAGTTATTTTTTTTGCACCCAACACTTCTCTTGTTCCTCCTCCTGTGTTCTGTGACTTTGCCTGCGGTTCTAACCTTGAGTGTCTAGCGAAGTGCGCCTAGAAAGACTTGGGAAAACCGCGGTGATAGCCTTTGTTGGCATTTTGTTTAGGTTTTGTGGTTCTGTTCATGTTCAGTAGGCTTTAGGGGTTGGTTGATTCCCTTGTCCATTCTTTTACAACATCGTTCTTTTCAAAAACTTGCTGGTTCCCCTGGGTTGTCACGAAAGCTAGCTTTAGCTAGCTGAAGTTTCTCCTTGCGTAAGCAAGGTAAGGGGCTCAACTGCCGAAAGATTGATTTGTTCAATTATTTGAGCCGAAAAGATTGAAAACAATCAATTCTTTTGACCCCCCCCCCCTCCCCCCCCCTGTCTCAGGCTCGATTCCTCCTTGGTCCACCCCCCCCCCGGGCAGTGGCTCAGTGTTTCAGCAGTCTCGGTTTGTCCGTTTTGGACTTGGTGCTACGAACTTTTACATGTTCCACCGATTCAGCTTGTTCATTTGAGACCTCAGTCTTCTCAGTAAACCACCTCGCAAGAATCTTTGCACACGCAGCATGCAGAACCCAGAGGTGCTTTAAGACAGCTTCTGACGCCTCTCGTTGTTTTCATTTTTCAAGGTTTGCCACGCCACCATGTGCGTTAGCGTGTCGCATCCTACGAATCTTGCCGGGCCTCTCGTTGTACACAAGCTACCTATGAATCCACTCTGTCACCGACCCATCTCATTCAACAACTGCTAGCTTTCGCTTACCCGCTCCTCAAGTTATTGATGGTTTCTTGAAAAGATTCGGATCCCTGGAAAGAATGCGGAAGTACTATTTGACGTGGGGCTTACCGTTTTTTTGTTTGTGAACATACTGATTGTGCGTGTGTGTTGCCAGCACGACACTGACGGCACATCAGTTTGTTGTTTGGTTTACAGTTGGGAGAATCAGTGTATGCCAGATTATTTCCCATGTTGCGACAGTGGGCCTGGATACAGCCCAACTAATCAAAGGCCCGCCAAACACCTTTCCAGCCCCAGCCCTGCCCTTTCTCCTGCAAACTTTGAATGCTTGATGTTAGGGACAATCTAGATGATGTTTGAACCCACATTTACCAGCACCCGGGTCCCAACTATCCAAAAGTTTCTTGGTACGGTAAGCAACAAGCAGTTGCAAGTTGGGACCCGGGCGCTGGTAGTGAACGCATTCTTGCCGCTGCAAAATTGCCACATGGCTCTCAGGCACAGCAACTTGCCAGTGAAAGCTGAGTGATCCCACACGGCGAGTCGAGCGGCTGGTTTTCGACGTGTCTCACATCGAGTGTGGTTTTCTATGGGGGTTTCTATGGGCCAAACATGTGGCATGGGATTGCCAGGTTTACTTTTGACCGTTGGATCATGTGCTTAGGTTTTTAGGTCTTTTGGTTCTGTTCATTTGTTGGGGGCTGTAAAAAACATGGGTGTTTTCTTTGCAAGCCCGTACCAAGGGTTGGAAAGCTTTAAAAAGTGACTGGTTGTGATTGAACCTCTTTGGGTTTAGGCCCTTTTTGTAACGTATCACAGAAGTTGATTCCGTTTCCCAGAGCCCTGCATGGTGACTGGGAAGAGGAAGCTCCCTTTCTTGGCAGCAAACGTGATGGATAAGGATCGGTTGTGTCAACCCTCATGAGCAATAGGCAAATGTGAGTGGAGTTGGTCTGATGGTCCCCTGTCAATGTTGAAGATTGGGGCTGGGTATCGGCCCTTACTGTTTCCCCATCGGTTTCTTGTGACAGCATTGTGTGGAGCCACGAGCAGAACACGCTTCTGCTTTGAGATTGGTAGGGATGGGCATCAACCTCTTCGGGATTTGAGATACTCATTACGAGGGTTGCCCCGCCCAAAATGTGTTGATCGTGTCATAAGGGGGTGGGTCAAAATTTAACCACCGGGGGACCGCAGGTTTGAGTCCATGTTTCCATATGCCAGGATTCCATTTGGGGTACCTTTTTTTGACCCACACCCATATCTGTTCTGTGTGCTTATGTGTTGCAAACACAACATGTGCGTGTGCTAAGTCGGTGAAGTTATGCCTCGTTTAGGCCTTGTTTAGGCCACATCGCCTCTTCATGTGGCTTTGAGTTTGGCTAGCGAACACTCTGAAAAAAGCACCAATCAGTGTGGCTGTGCCCAAAATGGAAACCTGGCAAATGGAAACATAGACTACACGGTCCATTTCCTGGTGGTTTAGTTTTGACCCATACCCATGTAAATGGTGCCCACCAGGGAACCCTGAATCAGACAGAATTTGGCATGGGCATGGATGAACGGACACCAACAACATCAGGGTGTATCTTTTGGAGGGTACCGTGTTTGAGGTTCTTCTAAAGGAAAACGGAATGGAATCCAACAAACTTGGCTGCTATTGGGTTGGATCTTTAGACTTTAACTTTTTGGGAAATAAAGGTGTTTTCCACTAAACCCCCAAAAGCTAAACTTTTTGCAGGGGGTCAACAGCGACGAAGCAAAGAACAGGGGCTCCCCAGTTTTAAGACACGCCAAGTGGGCGCATCCTGTCAAGGCCCGAAGGGCCGGATTTCAAAAACAAATCGGGGAGTGCGGAGAGTGCGGAGAGCGCCACTCCCGTGTTGCACCCGGAGAACGGGTTCAGGCAATGGAAGGCATTTCCCAGGGAGCCTTAAAAGTGAGAGTCGCCGGATTGCTTCGTGGTATTGGGGCAACAACTGTTCAGGCATTTGCTGGAAGGCTCCATGATTAAAAGATAAGGCTGGCCAAACAGAAACAAAAGGGTCCCCCCCATGAGGCAAAAAAGAAGACGAAAAAAAGCGTCATGAGGCAAAAAAAGGAAAATGGATCACCCCTTGGAAAAACGACATCGTCATGAAGACTTCAAGTTGGCCTGTCCTTCGAATGCTTGAGCCTATCTCTTGGGTCTTTTGGCTGGTGGTGGCCCCGGCTCCAACTCGGATCTATGCGGGTGCCAAAAGACGGCGCGCTGTGATTTGTTCGGTCCTCCAGTGGGGTCTCGCCCGAAGAAATTCTACCTCTTGACCTTTTGGCTTTTCATGTTTGATCCCTACTTATTTAGTCAAGGTTTCAAAAGGTGATTGGCGTGATCACCTCTTTTCTTCAGGTTCGTTGGAGTGAGTTTGACATGACCTGACATCTGAAAGTTCACTCAATATTGATTTTGAGCAAGGATCACACGTTTAATGTGGGGGAGCTTTGGCAGAGGTAGGTCCAGTGGGGTGTTTCCTTGCTCAAGTTCGCTTTGGGGAACCCCCAAGCCGCCAGTTAGCGGGAAGGTGAGGGTGTGGAGGCTTTCAACTCTGCAGGAGGATGGGGCTTCAGCATGAACACAACACGCCATCAGCAGAGACAGAGAGAGAGGGATAAGATAATCCAAAAAAAAACAGAAGAAACAAACACAAAGACAGAATAAATACTGAAGGAAAGAAGGAACAAAAAGAAGAACATAAAGCAAGAAAGAAAGAAAGACAGAAAGACAGAAAGAAAGAAATAAAGAAAGCAATAAAACAAAATAAAGAGAAACAAATAACGAAAGAAAGAAAGACTGAATGAACGGAAGAAGTTACGAAAGAAAGAAATAAAGAAAGGGATAAAGAAATGAATAGATAGAAAAACAAATAAGTACTCGAATAAATAGATACTGAAAGCGTGACATGAACAAAGAAATAAAATAATAGAAAGAAAGAAACACTGAAAGAACCAAGTACATGAGTAAATGGATACAGACAGAAATCAATAAACATAACGAAACAAATGAATCGATAAAGAAAGCAAGAAAGAAAGAAAGCAATAAATAAATAAAGAAAGAACAAAAGGAAGGAAGGAAGGAAGGAAGGAAGGAAGGAAGGAAGGAAGGAAGGAAGGAAGGAAGGAAGGAAGGGCGCAAAGGCAGGGAGGTAGTGGGGCACTGAATCTTTGTACGTTTGATGAGTGATGATGAGTGTGTCAACGGCGTAACAGGGCCGCCGTTGAGAAGTATGTTGCGTACATAGCTGCCGCTTACTAATCAATATCAATAGAAAGATGCGAATCCTAAGGGTTGGGAGGTGTCTAAGGCAGCAGCGATTGCCGCCGGAATTGGGAAACCGTTGAAGCTCTGAACCTTGCCCCCTCAAAGATTGGGGGAAGCTGACTCAACATGAGTCACAGTCAAAGCCCGGGTAGATGAAGGCGAATGAAGGATAATCCCAATTATGAATGGGTACAGCCGCCTTTTTTTAATGGAAGCTGCTTGCAACCCCCCAGGAATCTGCCCCAATGAACCCACTAGGGAGTGGCGGTTTGACCATAATGTGTGTGCTTAGATCACTGGGGACCCAAGAATTTGTGGTTGTCCTTTTCATTTGCGGAAAAAAAAACAACTCGCAAAAAAGGGCACCCTCAAAATCAGACGCAGATGAATTGTTCGAGTGTTTGTTTGGTTTCGGCGCAAGGCAATTGCTTCTGCTGCCTTTGCTTCCATTTTTATTTTCTTGTTGGTTTGAAAGGAATTTATCACTACTGGAATATTATTTTCTTTTTTTCCCCTTTTTTTTCCGGGGGTCTTAACCAAATGGAAGTTTGGTTTCGTTCGGACTGCCGGTGGTATCGTTTCCCCAATTTTTCCTAAGTAAGTAGTTTCCCTTGAAAGTCAACTACTACCACCCCGGTCCCAGGAACAGCTTGGTTAGCGTCCCCAACAAGCAGTAGGGTGTCCCTTTTTTCGCACTGGATGTCTGTAGCACCTCACTTCCTGGTGGGTGAGGTCTAGCACCTTTGGCACTGTTTGGCCACTTTTTGGCTCGCAGTTGAGATTGGGACATGGCCTAGCGATTTGATCTCGGCGTGAGAACTCACGATGTTGTCGCAGCAGGAGGGGAAGGTGTCTCACCTTACCCTTGTTTGGTTTGCGGGTTCCTTCGTTCGGTGGCTTGGTGCTTCACGGTACAATCCTTGGTTTCAGCAACCAGGGTCCCAGGGTTTCTATCTTGGTCAAGAAGCAGGGTGGTGGTGGTTGAGGGTTCAAATTCCCAGTTCCGAGCAATTCAATCCACCAATAGTGGTAAGGCAATAGATGGGCCAGGAACAAAATACAAGTGGGGTGATGTGTTTGGGACAGCATTCTCGTTGTCTACGGGCAATGTGTTTGCCTATGAGCCCTATCGTCACCAGAAGGAATTGTTGGGCGTCAAACAGCACACAATGGTTAATGGTTGCTTTTGCGCCAAGGAAACTTCCGTTTGCTGAAATGAATATGTTTATATTGTCCCTCGTGGGTTTTAAAGGGAATGTATCACCACTGGACATGTTTTAAGGGGCTTCAGCATAGATGGACAATTGTCTAGGCTTGGCGATTCAATCGGATTGGCTTGCAGAAGTCCATTTTCCTGGGCAGTCAGACCTACCTCATTACCCCAAACCCACCACACACACCCCTCCCCCCCCGAAACCTAAAATAGACCAAAACTGGAGGCGTGTTTGTGGTGGTGCTGTGTTTGTAGGGTAGCAGTTTGCCTCTCGAGGGTTTCCCGATGGTTGGCAAACCCTCCAGAATTGAATGGCCCAGATTGCCAGGGTCCAAAGCGGCACCTCCAGATTGCCATTTTTCAGAATACCCTTCCAAAAATAAAAATAGAACCGCAGGCTAGGTCCCCCAGCAATTGGTGCCCTTTCTCACCCGTTTCTTTGTTGCTTGGGAGATTCGGTTCCCCTACTAAAATAGACTACAAAAAGAAAAGGGTTCCCTTATTCTAACCTCTCTACTGGAGGACCTAGCAGGGGTTCCTGGAAGACCATTTTCCTTTTTGGGGACTTATGTACACCAGCACCCCAACTGCGTTGTTCCATGGACATCCCAAGTACTGTCCAGAAAGCAGTCGCTGGGGAGGCCTGGCCGGCTTTATGTTTTGCCAAGCGAATCGAATTCGCTCAAGTGGTGCACCGTCCCGGTTCCCGGTTCCTTTGGCTTGGCGAAATGCATGGGGTTTACATTTAACCCTCTAGTTCAGGGTTGCGGGATCTCTCGGGGCTTATCCAACCACTTCTGTGATACTTTTGGGAATCTCCCCCTTTTTATGGCAGGTCTGTCCTTGGGAAGCCCTTTTCGTTGTAATTATCACAGAAGTGGATTCCGTTTCCCACAGCCTTGCTCTAGTTCGGCAAGTTTAGCAACCAGACATGGGGCCACGCGCCGACTTGCTTTTTCAAGGACAACTGCGCAAGCGAGATATAAACCTCGGTTGCGTTTTTTCATTGTCTCAGCATGTCTCAGCCTTACCCAATGCACATCTGCCAGTCTTTTAGGGCATTTACTGGAATAGAGTTGTGGGTACTTTGGCTGATTAGGGTCAACTGGGTATGGGTCAAAACAAAACAACCTCCAGGAAATGGACCACAGGTTTGAGTCCATGGTTGCATTTGCCATGCCATTTTGGGGTTACCCGACTTTTTGACCCACAGCCAACTGATGGAAAGACTGTTTCGCCTTTTGTATCACCCATTGGAAAGAGGTTGTGGATGCATGTGAAAAGAGTCTCTTGGCAAATTGTCTCGAGCTTCCCGGGGGCGGGGCTGGGGGCCTTTTGGGGGGTAAAAGAAGCAAATTGACCTATGATGAAAGTTCCTTGTGTGGGGATTCCTGATTCCAGTTTGCGAATCATTATTTTTGCCCCATTGGCTTTGGACGCAAAGCAAGCGGACAGGCATGCCACTTGCATGTGCAGGTGTACTTTTCACATGAGTCTCACATCGAGCTCCCAGATTCCATTTTGGACCATGATAGACGGCGTGATATTCTGAAGTGGCATTGCCATAGGTGTCCTTTTTAGGTGAGCCTGGTTAAAAATAGATGGCACTGGTTCAGACGGGTTTTGTTTCATTTACCAGGGCCATCTATTTTTTAAAAAGGCCACCTATGGGCATTGCCAACAAAAAAAGTATTTTTCATGATGTTCCTCGGTTCTTGGAGCCTTGCAGACTGGATCTTAAGATTTGCGCTGAAGCGTAGAGCAAGGGGCCCTGTGTGCCGCCCTTTCCTATTCATTTGGCTGTAAAGTTCATGGAAATCTCATGTTCGCAATTTAAATGATTCTCCGTTTCGGCTTTCTTGGCATGTTACAAATGGCTGTTAACACTAGGATCCTTTTGTTTGAACCGCCATACCACTCAAGTGACATGTGGAATTCTGAGTCATTGGGTCGTTGCCATGCGAGGACTTGGACAGCTTGGTGAACCTGCTCAAAGAGTCAGAACCTAGGGAACTGGGGGGGTGAGGTCGAACTTTTGCGTTCAGTCGGCTGTTTGTTGTACGTGATTGTTGCTCTTTTGTAGTTTTCCGGTTGGTTCAAACAGGGGTGCCCCCATTTCCTTGTTTGGAACCTCCAGAAGTGGCGATCGTTTCAATGGAAACCACCATTGCTTTGGTGCATTTTGCTTGGATGTTAGGACTTTAACATTTTGCCAACAAATGAGTTTCCATTAAACCCACTAAAAGTTGAAAAAAATAGCAGGGGAGCAGAAAGCAACCGAGAGTAAGTTAGCAAATTGCATTTTTGATTTGGTGAAATCTGCTTGACCCATGTCAAGCAGACATCGGAAAACAGATTACATCGTTTGGGACGTGTTTTGGCTTTCCAAGAATCGGCACTCCTCGGGCCTGTGCACTCATCGGCCCCGTAGATTGGCTGAAACAAAGGCCCAGCCCAAAGAGGGCCAGGCTCACGTCCTTGGGTTGATTCTGTTGATAAGGTTGGGTGTGGTCCCTGTTTTTGAGGTGATGTGTCTGTGGGTCAAAACCTGTTACCCTTTTTACCCCTTTTTTGGGGGAGGGTTCCCCTACAAAAATAAACGACATAAAAAAGAGTACCCTTATTCTAATCTCTCTACTGGAGGACCTAGTAAGATTGGGTGTGGTCCCTGTTTTTGAGGTGATGTGTCAAAGGACAACAGCCCATGATGGTTTTGATAAGATTCTAGGGAAGCGGTCCATTCTTTCCAGGAATTTCGAATCTTTTAAGGAAGCCATCAAACACATAGGATGGAAACATCTTGTTGTTTGACAAGAGCGATGGTTGAAAAGAATGGGGAATCAACCTCTAGAAAGATGGGTGTGGTCCCTGTTTTTGAGGTGATGTGTCAAAGGGGCACCTGTGCCCATGCTTGATTTCCCTGTGGTCTTAATATAACCCACCCCGAAAAAGAACCCTCCAAAAAGCACTCCAAAAGGGATTCCCTCAAAACATACCAAAAAGGATCCCCCCCCAAAAAAACATACACACAAAAAACAGCATACCCTGAATAAACACCCCCAAAAGAATAGCCTCAACAAACACCCCAAGAAAAATAGCCTCAAAAAACACCCCCAAAACGGATAGCCTCAAACACACACACACACACAAACCCAAATCACCAACTTGAGCCAAATTCGTTGAAGCGGAAATCAACCGGAGTGAATCTAGCCCTGGGGAAATCGTAGCGGGGTGCTACTGTGCAACTGATATGCTGCGCAAAACCGTGCAATTGAATGAACGAACGAACGAACGAATGAATGAACGAATGAATGAGTTAATGAATGAACTAATGAATGAATGAACAAATTCATGAGCATATACACAGCACTATTTGAAGCTCATGAATTCAATATGTGTATAATTTATCTGTATACCTATATACATATACAATGGCCACCACAATATCCCATTTACGCCTTACAAGAGAACACTGAACTGTGCCCTACACCCAAAACGCACAGATAAATAATATGGCTAGTATAGTTCGTTGTCAAGGATACAATGATGGACCGGGGTACAATTTTCGCTGACCCTTCCGAGGCCTAACAAGCCCTTTGAAGCCATCGCGATGCAGTTTTACAAGCTCTTCGCCAAGCCCGACCAGCCTTTGGCTCAGGCTGACAATTGTATTGGTCTATGATTCTATATCTACTATGGCGAGTTTACCGATTCCGGGGGGGGGGGGGGGGGGTAAGCGAGCTCAAAATGAGGTAGCCCTGCTCCCCCTAACATAGCATTTGTGGGAGGATACCTGCAAGATCAGCTTTCTCTTCAAGGAACCCTTGACAGGTGCCATGTTAGTGGGAGGGAGTGTAGGTCCCTTACCAGGGAATGTCGGATTTTCAGGGTTTGGAATGGTTGCACCATTGGCAGACTGTTTGGGGATGACATGCGGACAGAATTAGAAAGCATCACCCAGTGCTCCCTCTTATTCTGGGGAAGACTTATAATTGCGTCCGGGGCTTAGATGTTGGTTAGAACCTGCTTGAAAGATATCAGATACGCGATTGGTGGGGCCGAGCATCATGTCTGGCTCTTTACTGCCTTCCATAGAGCCCCCTCAGTAGGGGCAAACAAGCCCACAAAGGCGAACTTTGGCCAACTGGGGGTGGTGGTCTTCCTTTCGGGTTTCCCTTTAAGACCCCCCAAAAAGGGGCCCCCCTAAAGAGGAAAAGCGGCCTTAGCCCGCAGGGCCGGCGTCGAAATATCGGGTGTGCAATCGAGGGCTTACTGGACTGCCTGGAATGTCAAGAGGGTTGCCTCATGCGTTCTTCGTTTCATCAGTTTTCGGACTCTACTTTTTTGGGAAAGATAATATAACATCACAACAGTTGCAAACATGTGGTTTGGGGGGAAGAGCATAAAACATGATAGGTGTAAAGAACATGTTTGGACCAGTCTTGGCCAATGCACTTAAAATGCTGAGTGGGGTGTGTGTGTGTGTGTGGGTGTGTGTTTGTTTGTGTGTTTGCTTGTTTCTAGTTATGTTCGGTTCTGTTCACTTTGAGTGGGTGACTGCAAAGAACAATGCTGCTCACATCTCAAGGAAACCGGGACAGTAAACAGACTTATGTGATGGCAGGCAATAATCATGGGACCTGGGAAGGGAAGGTGGAGCCAAACAAGCCCTTCTTGAGCCCTTGATAAGGGCTTCTTTAGGGATGCGAATCCCGCTCAACGGTGTCACGTAGCCTGGAAATAAGGCAAACATGAACGGCAACCTGCCTATGGCAAACCTGCGATTGACACCTTGAAAAGCCCCCCCCCCACAATGTTGACCCTTGGGGGGTGATCTCTCATGTGAAGGGTTTCCTGGTCTGCAATCAGGCGGTTAGAAGCATGCCTCCGTCGCAGTTTTGCGGCTACGAACTGCATCGATTGATTGAGGGAGTAGAAAGACGTAGCGGGATTTGCGTTTCAATTCTATCGAGCTCACCTGCGGCAAAACGAGCTGGATGGACAAAATCCTGCACCACGTTTAAAAAAGCAAAACCAACTTGGAATGATGTTTCCTTTGTATATAAGTACATGCCAACCGCGGTTTCCCAAAGTTTCCAAGTAGCGCAAAATGGAGTTTGTCCCTCCACAAGAGGTCAATCGAGACGCTCGCTCGCTTGCGCCACGCGCCCGAGGTTCAAAGCTGGGTGCGTCATTTGCATGCTCTTACAGGACCATGACGTTAGACTCGGGCCAACTTACGCAGAGGTCCCTAGATTTCCCCTTTTTGGTGGTTTTGAACATCACCTATTTGGCCCTTCACAGGTGAGTGTTTTCTGGGGGATGTTTTAAGGGGAGATATAGGGAGCGCTGCTACATGCCCTACCTGGACACCAAACTGAGTGGTTCTACATGGGATATACGGGATACGTACCCCAAAATCCTTCCCTATTTAAGGTTATGTCCATTTGAGGTATGTTGGAACTCTGGGCTGTATCCCCCTTTGGGATTTGGACGGATCACCAACTCGCCAGATCATGGAGCCCAAGTAAGGTTTCCTAAAAGGGCGATTTCTAGCAAACCACGGCACTTTTTCTCTGGGGGGGGAAGTCCGTGTTGAGGCGTGGCAATCAGAGTTTGTCTTGTGGACTTGGAGAAGTCAAGAAAGTCTTATCAGTTTGCCAAATGACAAAATGGGTCAAAACCCCGTACCTGCAGTGAACATCCCAATCCCCACTAAAATAGGAAGCCTAAAATGGGTGGTGAATTCACCAATCCCAACCAAAATGGGATCCCAAAACGGTTTTGACCACAGCCAAATGACCAAATGGCTGGCTTCCTTTTAGCTTCACAGGTGAAAAGGTCGGAAGACTTGAGCTCTCTCTCGGACCTCCGAAGGCCGGCAAGTCCGGATCAGATTCCCTACCAGCACTTCACTGTTCTTGGCATGTTTTCTGGTTTTTTAGTTTTTTGGTTCCGTTCATTTTGACTGGGGGTCTGCAACAAAGCAAAGTTGTTCGCTGCCCTACCAAGAGTAGAGATGAGCATGAACCTCCTTCAGGGCCGGCGAACGGAGGAGGGGAACTCCCTTATTCCCCCCTTAAGGCCTTGCCAAGGGCCATCCTTGGCTTATCCTGGGCTCATAGGAATAGCCCCCCACCACCAGCCCATAGCCTTAGGGTTCCTTTTAAGGAGAAGGTGAACTTGTTCCTACTGTGGATGGACGAAATCCTGCACCGCTTTGAAACCAAGGGAGTCCACTGATTGCAGGGGTATTTGCAGGGGAATCATCATTCCAGGGTCTCTTAGATGGTGCAGGATTTCGTCCATCCACAGTATGTCACTGGAGGTGTAAGATGGAGGTTGCGGGTGTTTGAAGGCCAGACATGTTTTGCTTGCCAACTCAAGGCATCCCATGTCCCATGCCTTGTCTTCCATTTGCTGAAATGTGTTTTGTGTAAAACGACAAACAACTCCCCTGTTGTTTTTGAACGAAGTCAGTTTCACTACTGGACATACTTGTTCATTTGTTCCGGGCGGCTTAAGCAAATGGAAGCTGGCAACCAAGCGCCCAGGCAGCTTCACGAAACACGTGGTATTTGCTTTGCCACGCAGTTAAATGAGTCAACACTGATTTGTTTGCTGTTGTTTGTCCAAGCTGTCTTTGAAGACCGTCTTTGCGGTTGCTGTCAAATTGACCAGGCATTTACTCTCCCACTAGTAACGCGTAATCAAACACATGGCAACCCTCAACTGGATCGTATTTCCCTCTGGGTAATTTGTGAATGTCAGGATATTTTTGGGGTTGTCAAGCTGAATGTAGTATTTCTGGGTAATGTTTGAATGTCATATTTTGAGGTTTTCAAACTGATAATGTTGGTTGATGTTATTTACAAATACAAAGGCGTTGGGGGTTGTCAAACTGTTGATGTTGGTTGACGTTGCTTGCGCAACCAAAACTTTTTGTTTTTGTTTTGTCTTGCTTGCATTCAGGACAAGCTGCTGACGCAGACCCAGCGGCTGGTGGGCTTCTACCTTCTTTATGACATCTACAGGCGGGGATTTGGGACGGATGTTGACCCCATATTAATCAAATGGGGCAGTCCCTGGACTTGAGTTTTTGGGGAAGACAAGCTTTTTCAGGATTTTTTCAGCGGTGTAAGGGCTCTTACTCCCTGAGTTCATGGACGATTCTTTTTCCGGGGGAACACCGTTTTAGTTTTAAACAAACAGTTTGGGCTCTTTTGGGCCAATCCAGGACGTGAGCCATTGGTTTGAGTTGACATTTTCGTCGACCTTGGAACGGGCCAGTGACTCGGCTTGGTCATGTTGACCCTTCAAGAAGCCCGTCCTTTGAAAAGCGATCCTGGGAACCCCACTCAACGGGGATCAAAATCAACCAGATCAACCCCAGTTCATTTATAGGGGGCTGTCCCTGGGTTTGGTGGGGAATCAGGCCACTTTTTGAGGGGAACACTCCCCTGTTGAATTTTGTGGGGTTGATTTAATATGGGGTCAACATTAGGTGGTCGGATTCGGCAGGGGTTGCAACTGGTCCGCGATGTTCCAAAGACCTAGATGACTTTCTCTGCATTTGAACCGATGGTCGAGGGCAGACTAACCTCAACAAGAGCTGGAACTGGTGTTTGTTGAATTGAAATCAACTGGCTTTTTCAACATCTGCTTTTAGTGAGCAGCAATCAGTTAGCGAATGAAACTCCAATTGTGGCCCGTGGGAAATCTCCAAGTTGTTGCTTCTCTCTCACGACAATCAGCCCGACGGACGCGCACACAGACAGACAGACAGACAGACAGAGACAGAGACAGAGACAGAGACAGAGACAGAGACAGAGACAGAGACAGAGACAGAGACAGACACAGACACAGACACAGACACAGACACAGACACAGACACAGACACAGACACAGACACAGACACAGACACAGACACAGACACAGACACAGACACAGACACAGACACAGACACAGACACAGACACAGACACAGACACAGACACAGACACAGACACAGACACAGACACAGACACAGACACAGACACAGACACAGACACAGACACAGACACAGACACAGACACAGACACAGACACAGACACAGACACAGACACAGACACAGACACAGACACAGACACAGACACAGACACAGACACAGACACAGACACAGACACAGACACAGACACAGACACAGACACAGACACAGACACAGACACAGACACAGACACAGACACAGACACAGACACAGACACAGACACAGACACAGACACAGACACAGACACAGACACAGACACAGACACAGACACAGACACAGACACAGACACAGACACAGACACAGACACAGACACAGACACAGACACAGACACAGACACAGACACAGACACAGACACAGACACAGACACAGACACAGACACACACACACACACACACACACACACACACACACACACACACACACACACACACACACACGCGCGCCTGAATGCTTGGAGTGGTTCATGCATTTGTTTTTTAGCGCCACTGTTCTTGGCAAGTTGTTTGGGTTTTGTTTGGTTCTGTTCATTTGTAGTAGGTTAGTAGGGGAAGTAGTTTGGGTTTTTGTCTTTTTGGTTCTGTTCATGTGTAGTAGGGGGCGCCAAAAACAACGGTCATTTTGCCACCATAACCAAGGGTTGTGAAGTTAGGACTGCATGTTCAATGACCAGCAGCGTGTCTTCCCCCTGAGTGTGTACTTTTGCATGTCTTTTTTTCGAGGGTATCCCCCTCTTTTTTGTGGCTTTCAAAAGGGAAACCAAGAGGAAACCTACAATTTTGGGAGCCCAAAAAGGACACCCACTTTGGTGAATCCACATTTTGGGAGTCTGAAAATGAGCCAAACGCCACGTGACTGCAAGCGTTGCTTCAGGCAAGACACCTTGCCAACCACGCCCTTCGTCCCTCTGGTGGTGGAGATCGTGGAGCAGACCAGCCGCACCCTGAGCTTCGATCGTCGATGGTCTTTCTGGAAAGGCCCGGGTCCCTCCCCAGAATGAGTTCCGATTTTTTTGGGTTGCTTTTTGGGGGTTCCCTTTGTTTTCCACTAACCAGGCATGTTCTTTTCTTGCTGGGGTCCCAATTCCAGGCAAGGGTCGCAGTCGCTCAACGTTTCAGTTTCCCCACAGATGTGCGTTTCCTAGGCGCTTTTTTTGTTTTTTCTTTCTACTTGTGCATTGTTGCGGGCGCTCATTTGTGTTTGTGTGCGTTTGCATTTTGTATTTGGTGGCTGCTGCTGAATTTTGCGCGCGGTTTTCGGGTCATGTGATGGCGTAAGTTGCGCCTGCCGCGCCAAGTGCGGATAGTTTTGCGTTTTGCGCTGCAAGGTGGTGCAACAATAGCTGGGTATGGGTCAAAAATCAACCACCAGGGGACCGCAGGTTTTAGTCCATGTTTCCATGTACCAGGGTTCCATTTTGGGTACCATTTTTTGACCCACAGCCAACTAGGAAATTCAAGTCGGTCGGAAGAACCAAGCGTTTTCTGAAGCACCACAGGAAGGAGCTGGTTGAGGATCTTCCAGTCTTGGCAAAGGGAAGTGAATACACAAAATGCCCGGGGTACCTCCCTGCCCCCCCCCCACATTCATTGTTGCATTGTTGAGGTGCAAGTAAGCCGCAGCAAATCACTTTTTTCAGAGTTTTCCCTCCTTAAAAGCAGTTTACAATTGCTCAGTTCTTCAGTGGCACCCTTTTTCTTTCTCCTTCTTCTTTTTGGGTGGCTGCCCCACTAAAAAATCGGTCCAAGCACTAAAAAGGGTTCCCTTTTTTTCCAGGGTCACTGAACAACTGAGATTGAGTTCCTTTGGCTTGGGAAAGAACTGCAACTTTTTCGCCTCAAGGCTGAGGCAAGCAAGGTCCAGTGCTTTGCAGCCCCTTTTCAGGGAAAAAGCAACACAGAGTTTGGCTTGGGAAAGCGTGAACTGCACCCCTTTTCAGGGGGGGACAAAAAAGAGCAAAGAGTCCCCGTTCACATCCGTTCACATCCGCCCTTGGCTTCCTGGGGAACCGGGTGCTTGGTCCAGAGTGTCCATTGAGTCTCATCCAACGCGCATGAAGCCAAACACACATGCCTCCCCCCCAGAATTCCACGTATTTGTTATCTAAAGCAACGTGGACCAACACATGACACATACACATGCTACAGGACCCCTTAAGCCTTAGGCTTGTTTCAACCGCAAAGACTGGGCAAACTGCACAAGAATCCGCACACAAGTCTGAACAATTAGGGAGAACAGGCCCCCAGTGCTCTGAGAAACTTGCGGGGGGGGGGGGGGGGCAATTCTCGCCTTGCCAATAGCGAGCCTTACCAGCAGGTGAGTCACAATCGACACCTGGTATTAAAATGGTCTACCCAAAACCATGTAGGAAAATTAAAAGGCGGGCGCAACTATTTCTGGCTGGGAGCGATCATCCTTTGCTAACCTTTACCTACTCGAATTTCGGTTTTGAGCAAGTGGCTCACTCAGATGATGTCACATGCCCGCGAAGGTCTCCTATCGAAGAAATGTGGCCCTTAGCAGGGCAACATGGCTTTTTCCACCAAAATGAAGGGACACCACCATTTACAAGGCAATGTTCAGGTGTATAATGTAAGGATCCCTGTTTAGAAAGAATGTGGCTTGCGCTCATCACTGGGAGGGTCCTTGTAGCTTGAGGCGATGTCGTAGAGAGAAAGTTCCTGCTGCAGTTCCTGTCGTCCATGCCGAAGGAGTGACGTGCGACCCCCACAGGCGGTCCATTTTGGTTTTGAAGGGACACCATCACTTCTGGATATGTATATATATATATATATATATATATATATGTTTTTTTTTGGTCAAGGGGCGTCTACGCAAATGGAGGCGGGCCTTCCCATGGATAAAGGCTCAATAGGGTTTAAGAAATCCTATCGCGGCAATCTGGCTTCAGGTCGTGGACACGGCTTTTTGTTGTCTGCCGTCTCAAATCCAGACACCCCACTTCCTGAGTTCCTGGACTTTTTTTGCTTTTTGGGAACAGTGATTCGGAAACCCATCCGGATCCTTCGTGGCTCCAAAAGGCCATCCGGTTCAACTTAGCTTTTTAGATCTTTTAGGTGTTTAGTGGTTGGTTTTCTATTTAGCCCACTAAAAGTTAGTCACATTTAGCGGGGGACACATTTAGTTTGGCCCATGCACTCAAGAAGTGAGCCATTGCTTTGAGTTGGCTTTTTCGTTGACCTGCTAACGTGCCAGTGACTCGGCTGGTTGGTACTGTTGACCCCTTATCAATAAGCATGTCGTTTTCACAGTGGGGGGTGTCACCCGCAAAGGCGATTGCAAGCACTACCAAAGCTACGTCCCCCAGTAGTTCCCTTTCTCACCCCTTTTTTGGTTGGGAGATTCGGTTCCCCTACTAAACTAGACCGAGAAAAGAAAGTTGGTACCCTCATTCTCACCTCTCTACTGGAGGACCTAGAAACTGTTTGGACTCTTTTGTGGCCATTCCACTCAGAAGTGAGCCTGGTACCCTTATTCTCACCTCTCTACTGGACCTAGAAAACAGAGAGTGCCCCTGTATTCCCATTCCGAAACGAACACACCTGAGCAAACCCGTACCGGTTTAGGGGACCGGACAAGTGCCGCAGCCAACTCCCCGGAGAAGTGAAGCTTAGCACGGGCCGGTTTTATTTGCTTTTCAAGTATGGCACTATAAACACTGCAAATATACAAACAAACAAGACAACTAAGAAGAAACATATATATATATATACAATATATACATATCATATTTGGACAACTCCGGCGAATGAGTTGGATATGTGAGGACCGGGTAGAGTCGTTTACCTAGGTTGTGGTTGTGAGTGGTGTTTTTTTTTTTCCGATGAGGCACGGCGTGCCAGGAGCTGCCAAAGCAATCCGTGCAGAGCTTTCTCCAGAGCCCTCTCCTCAGGTGGTCCGTGACTGGAGCAACGCGAACCGATTCCTATTTCCCAGGAGCCCAACCGTATGGTTGTGTTCGGGCTCCCACTAAAAAGGTGGGGTTCCCTTTGGTGCCCCTTTGAAAGCAAACAAACATGCTACAACAGACACTCCCATATGAGTGATATGAGGGCCTTTGACCCCCAGAGACCTTCGACCAAGGATACCTTTTGGTGTCTATAGGGTTTGGTCAATGTGTCTTGATTGCTATTGGGTAGCGGATCTTTAGACTCCAGAAATAAATCAAGTTGGTTTTCCGTATTGAACCCACAGAGAGTTGAGCGCTATTTGCGGAGGGGTCAACAGCAACCAAGTTTAGTAGGTGGTGCTACTGCCGGCTTAGGTGGGGCTATCTTAAAGCCATTGGGTTGTTGGGGTCATTGCAATTCTCATTCCCGCCTATCGAGCCAGCAAGCAAAGTCCTGCTGGGTCTTAGGGGCGCCATAGGTGTCCTGTTTAGATGAGTTTGGGTAGAAATAGATGGGTTGGTTCCACTGGTTTAAATATTGGTGTGACCATTTGCCAGGGAAGCGTATCTATTTTGCCCACAAGGACACCTATTGTTTGGCGCTGCTCAATTTGCTAAGTATATACCCCTTGGTCACAGCGGTTCCTTGGCTTGCGTGGTTTCCAACCCACTCTAGGGGTATACAATACTCTTTTCGGGGAGAGGGGTATGCACAACATGTTGGGGTCATTTGCCCAGGAGGTATGTAAAAGGGTATGTACAAGCATCCCTGGAGGGGCATTTTGAAGATCCAGCATGAGACCTTCAGACGTAAACAAACCATGGCACCTGTTCTGGGAAACATAGAGGATAAATTTCAACTGGTTTCAATGTGTTTGTACAGGCGGCCCAACCAAACGAGGGACACTGTAAACTTCAAACACTCCAAGCGCATGTTCAAATTTAAACCAGCCACAACTCCAACAAGGCTTCCACTAGCCCCTAAACCATTCGCCTCGGGGAAGACATGGCATATATATATATACACTCTGTATATCGGTACAGCGGTTGCCCCTTCCATCAAACTCTTGGTAGTGGTTTGGGAGTAGTGGACACCATATCAGCAGATGTGTGCCCCCTCAAACTCCTGGAAAATGGAAAGAAAAGAGCTAGTCTTTCCCGTTGTTCCGCAAATGAGCAGAAAGCAAAGCATGGTCCCCTGTATCAATGAGCATGGTTCCCCTATATTTCCCCTTCACTCACGCCAAGAGAAATCTCCGAAATAGAGAGTAAATACGTAGTAACTTAATCAAGGGTAAGAAGTGTAAGGAAAGGAAAACACAGGATAAATCAAGTGTAAGCAGGAACAAGGTCAAACCATGCCCCCCACCCCCCTTTGAGTGGTTATGGTTATGTTTGAACTGCCCCAAGGGCTTGAAGGCCAACACCGCGGAGCGTTCTCAAAAATCCGGGTAGAAGATCCGGTTAGTCAGGGGCAGTCGCCAGAAATCGCTGCGGAAAATGTTGCCTTCTTCATTATTGAAACATGGTTCTGGGGATAGACCGTTTTAGTACCGGGTTTTGAGTGCGAGGCATTTAGAACGGATTTTCCTCTTAGGGCCCACTTGTGTGCACAGGCAAATTGTTTACAAAGAATGGGGAAGTTACCATGGTTGTTGTTGGGAACCATTTTACATTTTTGCTTATTGGGGTTTAGTGGGAAATCCCCACTTAACGGCTAAGATGTAGATTTTTGCTCCCCTTCCAACGTCAACCAAGCTACCCCTAGAAACACCTCGGGAGCTTTTCTTGTCGAAGGCTGCGACCCCTTGGAGCACGTGCCGATCCCGGACCTGGACGCCTTTCGGCGGATGCACGCGGAGAGCTCCCCAGGGGTACGCCCGAGCCGGGGGGTTCGACCGGAGTAGGGGTGGATTCAGAAAAGTCATCCGGTTGATGGAGGTTCTTGCTGGTGCGATCGGCAATTAAGAATTGGAACCCTTATAAACCATTTCTTGTGGTTTCCTTTATGCGGGGTTCCCTACCTATCGCACAAGCAAGTTTTGATTATACTAGGGGTTGAGTTGCAACCGGTGCTGATCCTTGATCCTTGGATGTGCCTCTTGCATCCTTGCTGAGTCTCCTGTTAAGATCAATGAGAGGTTCTAGGGCTTGATTCCTTGTCCACTGCAAAACATATTTCCAGTAGTGATAAATTCCCTTTAAAAACCAACAGGAAATAACGCATATTCTTGAGCAAATGGAAGGAGAACATATAGCTTGTACGATTAGGCGTTGATTCCTTGTCCATTCTTTTCAACCATCGTTCTTTTCAAAAACCGGATCTGTTCCTGGGTTTTTGATGGTTTCGTCTGGGTTCCTCGGCCACGAGTCTGGGCCACTAGAGACTAAATCAAGGTGTGGGACCTTAAACACCGTACGAAAGAAGCAGACCCAACTAATCAACGAACACAGTGACTGGTTCAACCCAAAATTTGGCCACTAGTCTGGGTTGCTCTCAGTTCCTTGACCACTAGTCTGGCCACTAGTCTGGTTGGTTTCTTGTGGGGAACCACGTTTTTGGCTGGGTTTGGGTCTGAGCATCCACAAAATATGTCAAGAGGGTCACGTGCGGGCACGAGTTCGGACTCCGTTGGAGCTTGGAAAGCAGCAAGAAAAACAGACCCAACTAATCAGTGAATGAACGCACACATATATATATATATACACACACACTCTTCCCATTTGTTCCTTTTTTAGTTGCACACACACACACACGCTGTTTCTGAGTGGTGTCCAGCCATTTGGATCCTTAATTAAGATGTTAGGTTTTTAGCTTGTAGCTGCTTTAGTGGTAGTTTCTACCAGATCTGAGGACATCCCAGGTTCAGGCAAGGATTTTCCAGTGCCCGAGCGGATTTTCGGTTTTTGGGCCGAGCCAGAAGTGGACGAACCGGGTCTTTTGGTGCCTTCATTGCCAGACTTAAGAAAGGCAGTTTATGTTTTTGAATGTCTGCGTGTTTCCTTTCCGGTGGAGGGAACAAGTTCCACAGCAATTGCCAGCCGTTGTTGTCCTGGCATGCCATTCGTTGGCGTATCTTGACTGGAAAGCTTCAGGAAGGCAAATGCCAAGGGCTCCCCCAAGAAAAAGGAAACCCACAAGTACCTCCTCCTCAACGGCATGGTCAACAGCAATTGGGTAAATGTCTTGTTCACTGCCAGCCGTTGAGCCGTTGACCGTTGGTTCTCAGGGAACTGCCCATCGGTTTCATTGCCTTTCCAAAGCTGTTTCGCTACAAACCGGCACCTTCACTGATGGCATGTTTTAGTGTTTGTTCTCTTTGTTTAAAAGCAATTCACACACTATTATTTTGTTTAGTAAGGTGTTGCGCTCAGGTAACCCTTAGATGGTGGTTTGGATTGGTGGTTTGGGGTTTGAACCCCTGGCGTTTGTAGAGGGTAATGTGAAACCGCTCCTTGATCACCAAAGCACCGGGCTCCAAACCACCAATTAGAGGGAAGCTGATTTGCTACAATCCTGCAGCGAAGAAACCCTGGAATGAATAAATTGCCCTGTATATTCGACCAAGCGTCGTGGTTTCCCCATGGTGTCAAAGTGGTGCGACGTGGATGTTGCCACCCACAATATGTTGTTTTTTGTTGTTTTGGTATGTTGTTCGGTTCAGACGTCCTCTCATTGGTGATTTAGACTCGTAGGGATTTGAACCAAAGGGTTTCTTAGGTAGTGCAGGATTTCATGCATCCACAGTATGGTAGCAAAAGACGTTTCTTGTTGCAGCCTACTAAAACATGCCAGTGAACAAGAAAACAAACAACATACACAAACAAACAAACAAACAAACAAACAAACAAACAAACAAACAAACAAACAAACCAAAAGCCGTCCAGCGGTCGCACCAATTGAAACCATGGGAAAACCATAACGTTTGTGGGAATTTGCATCGGAATCATTATTCCAGGTTTCGGAGGTACAGGATTTTGTCCATCCAGAGTATGGTACTTAAAGGGCGATCGGGTACTTCGTAAGTGGTTAGTAACTTTGGTTATAGCCCACTTAGGAGACTTCTGATTTGCGACCATGGTAAGTGGATTATAAACATGGTTACTAACCACTTACTAAGTCCCTCGCCCCTTTACGTAGCATGACGCGTTTAGATGAGAACTTGTGTCACTCAATTCGGCTTTGGCCAGGTCAGCCCGGGCGCTGCCTTGGGCATCAGACCCAGTCTCAACGACAGGCGCGAGCGCGCTGTTTGGGGGCGCTCGGTTTGGACTCGGACGCTTTTGGGCAAGTGAGCGGGATGCGGTCTCCGAATATACGGCTGTGGTCAAAAAAAGTGGCAACCCCAAAATGCATTGCGGCTGGTAAATGGACACGTGGACTGGAACCTGGCGGCTTTTTGGTGGCTTGATTTTGACCCAGAGTCATATGTTGTATTGTTCGTGGTTGGCAAATGATGCAGCATACCCCCTTGTTTTGACCTTTGTGCTTCTAGCTGGGTCTCTCTTCAGGAATGAACCCAACAAGGTGTCCTTTGAAGCCTAGGCGTCTAAAGTTCGGCTTGGTTCTGCTTGGCATGAGGCCTGAACGGCAGAACTTGAGGGACCGTATTTCACTGGTGGTTTGGGGGTTTGAACCGGCTTTAGGGTAAATGGCTTCACCACCAAACCATCAGTCCAAACGGTTTTCGTAGAAGGTACATGGGAGATTCCACCCCGGAACACCGAACCCAGCCGCCAAGAGGGAAGCTGACCTTAAGGGGGATGACTTCTGGTTGCCTAACACTGAGATGACGGGCCTCTTTTATCCCAAAACAAGAGGACAGTTTGCTAAAGCGAGTGATTCCATTCACCTGTATAGTGGGTAACCAAGGGCTTGGTACCCCTGAAAACTCAGAAGGAGAATTGTTGGTTACCTACTATACTATAATAGTAGTAGCGGATGGGAAAGGTTGGGCCTGACGTGCATATCATCACCTTGCTCGGTTGTTGAAATTGGTTGAAGGCCTGAGAGGGTTGTCCAGGGTCACCTGATAGCTAGCTGTATTTCAGCGTGTCTTTTTGCGGGGGGGAGAGGGGGGTTCCCCCTTTTTGGTGGGTTTTAAAGGAGCACCCAGCGGAAAATCACCAGCTTGGGGGCGTCCCCTAAACGACACATGTACTTGGATGCGAAAGTGCAGCCCTGACACCTCCAATCGGAGGATCTTGCAGGGTCCAATGCGAAAGAACAGTTATCCCTGACTGAAGGAAGCAGGGAGAGGGCGCGTGCGTTTGACGAGTAGCGTTTGGTTGCAAGGCCTGTGTCACTTGGCCTGATTGAACATGATGTGAGGGTCAATTGTCGCATGTGGTTGCAGTGGAGTTTGCTTCCAGGGATGACAACCATACTTCTGACACCTCTAATCGGAGGATCCGGCAGGGTCCAATGCGAAAGAACAGTTATCCCTGACTGAAGGAAGCAGGGAGAGGGCGCGATCGTTTTACGAGTAGCGTTTGGTTGCAAGGCCTGCGTCAGTTGGCCTGATTGAACATGATGTGAGGATCAATTGTCGCATGTGGTTGCAGTGGAGTTTGCTTCCAGGGATGACAACCATACTTCTGACACCTCTAATCGGAGGATCCGGCAGGGTCCAATGCGAAAGAACAGTTATCCCTGACTGAAGGAAGCAGGGAGAGGGCGCGATCGTTTTACGAGTAGCGTTTGGTTGCAAGGCCTGCGTCAGTTGGCCTGATTGAACATGATGTGAGGATCAATTGTCGAATGTGGTTGCAGTTGGAATTTGCTTCCAGGGATGACAACCATACTTCTGACACCTCTAATCGGAGGATCCTGCAGGGTCCAATGCGAAAGAACAGTTATCCCTGACTGAAGGAAGCAGGGAGAGGGCGCGTGCGTTTGACGAGTAGCGTTTGGTTGCAAGGCCTGCGTCAGTTGGCCTGATCGAACATGATGTGAGGGTCAATTGTCGCATGTGGTTGCAGTGGAGTTTGCTTCCAGGGATGACAACCATACTTCTGACACCTCTAATCGGAGGATCCTGCAGGGTCCAATGCGAAAGAACAGTTATCCCTGACTGAAGGAAGCAGGGAGAGGGCGCGTGCGTGTTCTGAGTAGCATTGAGTTGCAAGGCCTGTGTCAGTTGGCCTGATTGAACATGATGTGAGGGTCAATTGTCGCATGTGGTTGCAGTTGGAGATTGCTTCCAGGGATGACAACCATACTTCTGACACCTCTAATCGGAGGATCCTGCAGGGTCCAATGCGAAAGAACAGTTATCCCTGACTGAAGGAAGCAGGGAGAGGGCGCGTGCGTTTTGACGAGTAGCGTTTGGTTGCAAGGCCTGTGTCAGTTGGCCTGATTGAACATGATGTGAGGATCAATTGTCGCATGTGGTTGCAGTGGAGATTGCTTCCAGGGATGACAACCATACTTCTGACACCTCTAATCGGAGGATCCTGCAGGGTCCAATGCGAAAGAACAGTTATCCCTGACTGAAGGAAGCAGGGAGAGGGCGCGATCGTTTTACGAGTAGCGTTTGGTTGCAAGGCCTGCGTCAGTTGGCCTGATTGAACATGATGTGAGGATCAATTGTCGCATGTGGTTGCAGTGGAGTTTGCTTCCAGGGATGACAACCATACTTCTGACACCTCTAATCGGAGGATCCTGCAGGGTCCAATGCGAAAGAGCAGTTATCCCTGACTGAAGGAAGCAGGGAGAGTGCGCGTGTGTTTGACGAGTAGCATTAAGTTGCAAGGCCTGCGTCAGTTGGCCTGATCGAACATGATGTGAGGGTCAATTGTCGCATGTGGTTGCAGTGGAGTTTGCTTCCAGGGATGACAACCATACTTCTGACACCTCTAATCGGAGGATCCTGCAGGGTCCAATGCGAAAGAGCAGTTATCCCTGACTGAAGGAAGCAGGGAGAGTGCGCGTGTGTTTGACGAGTAGCATTAAGTTGCAAGGCCTGCGTCAGTTGGCCTGATCGAACATGATGTGAGGATCAACTGTCGCATGTGGTTGCAGTGGAGTTTGCTTCCAGGGATGACAACCATACTTCTGACACCTCTAATCGGAGGATCCTGCAGGGTCCAATGCGAAAGAACAGTTATCCCTGACTGAAGGAAGCAGGGGAGGGCGCGTGCGTTTTATGAGTAGCATTAAGCTGCAAGGCCTGTGTCACTTGGCCTGATTGAACATGATGTGAGGGTCAATTGTCGCATGTGGTTGCAGTTGGAGATTGCTTCCAGGGATGACAACCATACTTCTGACACCTCTAATCGGAGGATCCTGCAGGGTCCAATGCGAAAGAACAGTTATCCCTGACTGAAGGAAGCAGGGAGAGTGCGCGTGCGTTTTACGAGTAGCATTGAGTTGCAAGGCCTGTGTCAGTTGGCCTAATCGAGCATGATGTGAGGGTCAATTGTCGCATGTGGTTGCAGTTGGAGATTGCTTCCAGGGATGACAACCATACTTCTGACACCTCTAATCGGAGGATCCTGCAGGGTCCAATGCGAAAGAACAGTTATCCCTGACTGAAGGAAGCAGGAGGAGAGGGCGCGTGCGTTTTGCGAGGGCCTATTAAGTTGCAAGGCCTGTGTCAGTTGGCCTGATTCATTGAACGTGATGTGAGGATCAACTGTCGCATGTGGTTGCGGTTGGAGATTGCTTCCCGGGATGACAACCATACTTCTGACACCTCTAATCGGAGGATCCTGCAGGGTCCAATGCGAAAGAACAGTTATCCCTGACTGAAGGAAGCAGGGAGAGGGCGCGATCGTTTTACGAGTAGCATTAAGTTGCAAGGCCTGTGTCAGTTGGCCTGATCGAACATGATGTGAGGGTCAATTGTCGCATGTGGTTGCAGTGGAGTTTGCTTCCAGGGATGACAAGCATACTTCTGACACCTCTAATCGGAGGATCCTGCAGGGTCCAATGCGAAAGAACAGTTATCCCTGACTGAAGGAAGCAGGGAGAGGGCGCGTGCGTTTTTATGAGAATCGTTAAGTTGCAAGGCCTGTGTCAGTTGGCCTGATCGAACATGATGTGAGGGTCAATTGTCGCATGTGGTTGCAGTTGGAGATTGCTTCCAGGGATGACAACCATACTTCTGACACCTCTAATCGGAGGATCCTGCAGGGTCCAATGCGAAAGAACAGTTATCCCTGACTGAAGGAAGCAGGGAGAGGGCGCGTGCGTGTTCTGAGTAGCATTGAGTTGCAAGGCCTGTGTCAGTTGGCCTGATTGAACATGATGTGAGGGTCAATTGTCGCATGTGGTTGCAGTTGGAGATTGCTTCCAGGGATGACAACCATACTTCTGACACCTCTAATCGGAGGATCCGGCAGGGTCCAATGCGAAAGAACAGTTTTCCCTGACTGAAGGAAGCAGGGAGAGGGCGCGTGCGTTTTTATGAGAATCGTTAAGTTGCAAGGCCTGTGTCAGTTGGCCTGATCGAACATGATGTGAGGGTCAATTGTCGCATGTGGTTGCAGTTGGAGATTGCTTCCAGGGATGACAACCATACTTCTGACACCTCTAATCGGAGGATCCTGCAGGGTCCAATGCGAAAGAACAGTTATCCCTGACTGAAGGAAGCAGGGAGAGGGCGCGTGCGTTTTTATGAGAATCGTTAAGTTGCAAGGCCTGTGTCAGTTGGCCTGATCGAACATGATGTGAGGGTCAATTGTCGCATGTGGTTGCAGTTGGAGATTGCTTCCAGGGATGACAACCATACTTCTGACACCTCTAATCGGAGGATCCTGCAGGGTCCAATGCGAAAGAACAGTTATCCCTGTCTGAAGGAAGCAGGGAGAGGACGCATGCGTTTGACGAGTATCATTGAGTTGCAAGGCCTGTGTCAGTTGTCCTGATTGAACATGATGTGAGGGTCAATTGTCGCATGTGGTTGCAGTTGAGATTGCTTCCAGGGATGACAACCATACTTCTGACACCTCTAATCGGAGGATCCTGCAAGGTCCAATGCGAAAGAACAGTTATCCCTGACTGAAGGAAGCAGGGAGAGGGCGCGTGCGTTTTACGAGCAGCATTAAGCGAGGGCCAATTGTCGCATGTGGTTGCAGTGGAGTTTGCTTCCAGGGATGACAACCATACTTCTGACACCTCTAATCGGAGGATCCTGCAGGGCCCAATGCGAAAGAACAGTTATCCCTGACTGAAGGAAGCAGGGAGAGGGCGCGTGCGTTTGACGAGTAGCGTTTGGTTGCAAGGCCTGCGTCAGTTGGCCTGATCGAACATGATGTGAGGGTCAATTGTCGCATGTGGTTGCAGTGGAGTTTGCTTCCAGGGATGACAACCATACTTCTGACACCTCTAATCGGAGGATCCTGCAGGGTCCAATGCGAAAGAACAGTTATCCCTGACTGAAGGAAGCAGGGAGAGGGCGCTTGCGTTTGACGAGTAGCATTAAGTTGCAAGGCCTGCGTCAGTTTGCCTGATCGAAAATGATGTGAGGATCAATTGTCGCATGTGGTTGCAGTGGAGATTGCTTCCAGGGATGACAACCATACTTCTGACACCTCTAATCGGAGGATCCTGCAGGGTCCAATGCGAAAGAACAGTTATCCCTGACTGAAGGAAGCAGGGAGAGGGCGCGTGCGTTTTACGAGCAGCATTAAGTTGCAAAGCCTGTGTCAGTTGGCCTGATTGAACATGATGTGAGGGTCAATTGTCGCATGTGGTTGCAGTGGAGATTGCTTCCAGGGATGACAACCATACTTCTGACACCTCTAATCGGAGGATCCTGCAAGGTCCAATGCGAAAGAACAGTTATCCCTGACTGAAGGAAGCAGGGAGAGTGCGTGTGCGTTTTGCGAGGAGCATCAAGTTGCAAGGCCTGTGTCAGTTGGCCTGATCGAACATGATGTGAGGGTCAATTGTCGCATGTGGTTGCAGTGGAGTTTGCTTCCAGGGATGACAACCATACTTCTGACACCTCCAATCGGAGGATCCTCCAGGGTCCAATGCGAAAGAACAGTTATCCCTGACTGAAGGAAGCAGGGAGAGGGCGCGCGCGTTTGACGAGTAGCGTTTGGTTGCAAGGCCCTGCGTCAGTTGGCCTGATTGAACATGATGTGAGGATAAATTGTCGCATGTGGTTGCAGTTGGAATTTGCTTCCAGGGATGACAACCATACTTCTGACACCTCTAATCGGAGGATTCTGCAGGGTCCAATGCGAAAGAACAGTTATCCCTGACTGAAGGAAGCAGGGAGAGGGCGCGTGCGTTTTACGAGCAGCATTAAGTTGCAAGGCCTGTGTCAGTTGGCCTGATTGAACATGATGTGAGGGTCAATTGTCGCATGTGGTTGCAGTTGGAGATTGCTTCCAAGGATGACAACCATACTTCTGACACCTCTAATCGGAGGATCCTGCCGGGTCCAAGGCGAAAGAACAGTTATCCCTGACTCAAGGAAGCAGGGAAAGTGCGTGTGGATATCATTAATCGGCCATGAATGGTCAAAGCATGTGTCATTTGGCTTGATTCAACGTGATGCGAGGCGTGATTTGCCGTGTGGTGTTGCAGTTGGAGATTGCTTCCAGGGATGACAACCATACTTCTGACACCTCTAATCGGAGGATCCTCCAGGGTCCAATGCGAAAGAACAGTTATCCCTGACTGAAGGAAGCAGGGAGAGTGCGCGTGCGTTTTGCGAGGGCCTATTAAGTTGCAAGGCCTGTGCCAGTTGGCCTGATTCATTGAACGTGATGTGAGGATCAACTGTCGCATGTGGTTGCGGTTGGAGATTGCTTCCAGGGATGACAACCATACTTCTGACACCTCTAATCGGAGGATCCTGCTGGGTCCAGTGCGAAAGAACAGTTGTCCCTGACTGAAGGAAGCAAGAAGAGTGCGCGTGAGTTTCGTGAGTAGCACAAGTGTTCAACGCGTGCGTCAGCTAGCTTGATTGGTCGTTGGGAGGATCCATTGTCGTATGTGGTGGCAGTTGGAGATTGCTTCCAGCGATGACAACCATACTTCTGACACCTCTAATCGGAGGATCCTGCAGGGTCCAATGCGAAAGAACAGTTATCCCTGACTGAAGGAAGCAGGCAGCGTGCGCGTGAGTTTCATGAGTAGCATACGTGTTGAACGCGTGTGTCAGCTAGCTTGATTGGTCGTTGGGAGGATCAATTGTCGCATGTGGTTGCAGTTGGAGATTGCTTCCCGGGATGACAACCATACTTCTGACACCTCTAATCGGAGGATCCTGCTGGGTCCAATGCGAAAGAACAGTTGTCCCTGACTGAAGGAAGCAAGAAGAGTGCGCGTGAGTTTCGTGAGTAGCACAAGTGTTCAAAGCGTGCGTCAGCTAGCTTGATTGGTCGTTGGGAGGATCCATTGTCGTATGTGGTGCCAGTTGGAGATTGCTTCCAGGGATGACAACCATACTTCTGACACCTCTAATCGGAGGATCCTGCAGGGTCCAATGCGAAAGAACAGTTATCCCTGACTGAAGGAAGCAGGCAGCGTGCGCGTGAGTTTCATGAGTAGCATACGTGTTGAACGCGTGTGTCAGCTAGCTTGATTGGTCGTTGGGAGGATCAATTGTCGCATGTGGTTGCAGTTGGAGATTGCTTCCAGGGATGACAACCATACTTCTGACACCTCTAATCGGAGGATCCTGCAGGGTCCGATGCGAAAGAACAGTTATCCCTGGCTGAAGGAAGCGGGGAGACTGCGTGTGTCTTTTCTGAGTAGCATGAAGTTGTGAAGGCCTGCGTCAGTTTGATTCATTGCACATGATGCGAGGCATAGTTTCTTGGAAGTTGCAGTTGGAGCTGTCTTCCGGGGATTACAACCACAGTTCTGTTCCATGTCTTACTGGGCTGTTCAAAGGTAGTCCTCAACCATTACCTTGGGTTGGGGTCTGTTGTGGTGGCTTCCCTAGGATTGTTGATTAGGTTGGGCCAAGCCTCTTTTTTGAACCGCCCAGTCTTCTACCACATTAAAGGTTTTTTTTTTTCAGTAGTTTTTTTTTTTTTTTAATGGCCTACTTGGCTTGCTCATGGCCAAAGGTGCAGGAAGACACTACATCACGGGTCCGAAAGATTGGACCTTGTTTGAACAACATTCCTCTAACGGAAGGTGGGGAGGGGGAAGATGAGTGCCTCGGATTTTCAGGCAGCATCCTTTAAGTATTGAATTTTTGGTTCCTCAGTTGAACTCCCTGAGGCAAACCCGCCCCTGGCTTGCCATTTTCAGGGGTCGGCGCCCTTGAAAACGTACCCCTGTCTGGTCTGAAGGTCTGAAGGTCTGGCAGCTGGGAAACGGGTGCGGAAAATGTGGGCGCCCGCAGCAACTTGCTGGTGCGATAGGTGGGGAATGAGAAATGGAATGACAAGAAACCAGTTGGATGGCTTGTAGGGAGGGATGGTTTTTGTTGGGGTTGCCTCGTTCCCTGCCTATCGCACCAAGACAAGTCCTGGCCAGGTCAGATGAGGGCTTTTGGGCCTGGTCCCCAACCAATTCGACCGAGAGATTGTTACGCGAGTCGTACTCCTCGCCTAGGCGTGCGACGGATCCGTTCCAGCGCTTCCATGGTGTGTGGGTGAGAAACTCTGGGGTGTCGCGTTTGCTTGGTTTTGGCGGCTGAAGGAAAACACGCATGTGTGTGTGTGTGTGTGTGTGTGTGTGTGTGTGTGCGTGTGTTCCGTGGGGTGTATCTCTGGGAACCGCTTTTTGCTTGGTTTTGGTGGGTGAACTCTGTTGCCCAGTGGTGCCCGTTTTTCCTTTTCTTGGGTAAGGGTTCCTCTTTAAACTGAACCAACAAAAAAGGGTGCCCTTTTTCCCATGGAAGTCGACTGGGCATCTGAGTGAAACAAACACGCATTTGTTGTGTGGTTTCTGTGTTGGGCCTTTGACAGAAAGTGGATTTGGCTGGGGCCCCGGTGGGGATGCTGGATCTCTTTTCTTCCGAGGTGCGGCCAGACGACGACGTGCAGTCCTGAGGTGTGTTGGGGGGGTAGTTCGCCACTGATCCCATGGCGATCTCACCGAAAAAGGGGCCAAACACCGGGCGAAGGCATGACTTGGCCCAGTTTTCTCCGTTTTGCGGTGGTGGATTTGTCGGCCATCAAATCCTAGGAATCCCGAAAAAAATCCGTAGCCCAAAAATTTCGAATTCCACCTCCTCCCAACCAGGGGACTCTTCCTTGAGGGTGTCTTTGTGCAGGGGACCCTCCAAAATGGCGTTGCGGTTCCCTTTCAAACCAACCAAACACTTACCTCTTAAAAACACAAAACTTTTCTCAACTTTTTGGGCAACCTGGGCTATATGTCTGTAAAAGATGAACTTCCCCAGGGCGACAGGAGTTTTAAGGGGTAAGAACAGAGGTACCCTCGAAAAAACGACGAGCCCCCCTTGTCCTCTTGGGATGTTTGTCTTTGACCGACAAGTTTTCGGCGAACTCGTGGCAGTGAGAAGGGCGTGGCTGACCTTTTGGCCCCCTTTTGGGTTCCTTCACGGGTTCCACTGTTTGACTACCCCAAGGTAGAATTGAACCCAGGGGCTTCCCTTTGGGCGAAATCAACCAGCCCTGGGTTTAAGTCCGTCTTGGGGTAGTCCAAAAGTGAAACCCTCTTCCTTTGTGTTCCACGTCAGCCAGGTGAGAAGTGGGCTCGTTTTGGGGTCGCCAAAAGTAGAGCGCCCAAGCAGCCCTCCATTCCGCATGATAGCTGCCATCCTTGTTTCTGGACATTCACTTGGCTTCCATGTTGGGAGGGAACGCGAATCTGGGTGTGTCGAACAAACCGGGAACCTCCTCGCCCCTACAAGTGTTTTCCCTCTGATTCGGAAGGTTGTTTTGTTTGTATACCCTTATGAAAACCAGACCCCTCATGCTCTCTTTTCGGGGGGAGAGTTTCCCTGTCTTTAAGTCAACCAAAAAAGACGGGTGCCCTGTCTTTCCTTTTTGGTGGTTCTCAAGATTGTCAACTCCAAACAGGCTTATGTGTCTTCACTGTTCTTGGGTTCTGTCCATTTTTAGTAGGGGGCTGCAAAAAAACACCGCATTTTCCTATATCAATTGTAACAAGGCAGGGTTGGAAAGGTTTTTCTCTACCAGGATCACTGGGTGGAACACATGGAATCAACCCAAAAGGAGGCCAGTGGTCTGGATCTACGCCGGAAACCCAGGCGAGTGCCGGGCTGGAGCTGAGTCCAGAGGAGCGCTGATTTTCGCTTGTCGCGGCGGGTAGAATGTGTTTTGTGCTCAGATTCTTCCATGTGCTGACATGTTTTGCTTTGGTTTTGATGGCGATCTATGACTTCTGGAAAAGTTGTTTTTTCCAGAGGACTTCAGCAAATGGAGGTATACAAATGCCTTCGTGTCAAAGTACCGAGTGGGAGGGGGGGGGGGCATGTTCCTTTGATTTCTCGCTAAACGAAGGTAAACCGGGTACCCGTCAAAGCAACACCCATAGAAACACATATGGAAGTACATCATCTGTGTTATGTACGCATGTGTTAGAAATGATCATAAGTACAGTATATGCTCATTTATTTGTCAGATGCACGCTTGATGCATGTGTCATCTTTGGTGCATTTTGCTTGGCTGTTAGGACTTCAACTGTTTGCTAACTCATGGGTTTTCCGTACTAAACCAACTAAAAGCTAAACTTCTTCTGCAGGGGTTTGCAGATTTCGCAACCGAGTCATGTATTTGTATATGCATTCGAAACACCTTGTTTCGCGTTTCGCGTTGCCTGGTTGCCGGACACGGAGCTCGGGGAGCTTGGAGATTGGTTGCCGGCCCGGTGCCAACTGTGCCGAAAAGAATGTGTGCAAATGGAGCCCGTCGCTGCAAATGGTCTGTGGAACCTCCCAATGGCTGTTTCATGGGGGGAGGGAGAGGGGAGGGAGCCCTTCTTAAGCCCTTCTTAAGCCCTTAATAAGGCCTTATTTCGGGTTTTCTTGGCTCCCTCCCCCCTCCCCTCCCTCCCCCCCAGCCCCCATGACTGTTTTGGGGTTATTTGCCAGGCATTGGGAGGAAATTCCTGGTGCAAGAATTGGTCGATCCTTTGGAGTCAGCGTTTACTTGATCCAAACCTGGGCGAATGTGATTTGGTTCACCCTATGAACCAGGTTTGTCGTGGCGACTTTGAACAACACAAACGACTGACAGAAATACCACTGTCGTCCCAAAAGAAACAGGAACAGATCTCACTTCCTGAGTTTCGGACTTAAAACTTGTTGGGAAGACACATTCAGGGGGAAATCAACACTTTGGACTTTGGCCAATCCACTCGATCGGAAGTGAGTAGCATTCGGAATACCATCTCTACTTTGCCTTGGACTCTACCTGCACGGGGATTTGATGCAACACCGCGGGTTTTCCCCTGGCTTCCCTTAAAAACAAACAGACCCACCAGCGGCACCAACTCCGAGAAAGACACATCACAGCCAGATGTCCTAGCGCACTCCCTAAGCAGGTTCCCAGGAGTCCACCTTGGACCAAACCGCAGAGTCCGAGCCAAAGTCATGGCGCTTGGGCGCCAGGAGCTGACGCTGCTCTCGCTGGAACCGGCTTGGCCGAAGCCTGAGAGATGTTGTTTTTTTTTTTTTTTTTTTTTCCCCGTCACATGCAGTGTTGTTTTGGTTTAATACGAGCCCGATGCGTGTTTTGGGAAAAGGAACACACCACGATTCATGTGACCGTTTTGTTTTTATGAAACAACCCAGTAAGTTTGGTGGGGAATTGTTAGCAGAGCAAGGCCATCCGGCCTTTTCAACAAGCATGCATTCGAACCGTCAAGATGTTGGCACGGACTCAGTGCACTTTCTTATGACTGTGTCAGAGCCATATTAGTAGTCTAGTGGTGGCTGTTAGCGCCCACGAGCCTCCAAAGATCATTCACTTGCTGCTGCCATCGGTGGGGAATGACCGAGTCCGGGTTTTGGGGACCGAATAAAGGACACCATAGGGGATGGTTTACCAGCAAGTAAATTTGGTGTTAAAGTACCCCACAACCCCATTCTCTTTTGTCCTTACCTATGAAAGTGTCTTAGGTTGAAGATTGCCCTTTGGAAGATCGTCTTAATTCAGCCCTTTTGCCCTTTGTGGTTTTCTCAGCTGTTCTTTTCAACCAAGTCGACTTGTTGCAAGCGAAGCTCTCTGTTTTCTTCTGCCAAAGGGCTCCTCATGGAGGCTGGGGGGGGAGGGAGGGGAGGGGAGCCCAAATAAGCCCTAAATAAGGCCTTATTAAGCTGTTAAGGCCTTATTAAGGCCTTAGGGCTTATTTGGCTTCCCTCCCCCCTCCCCTCCCTCCCCCCCAGCCCCCATGAGCTCCCAATGAAACTTTGCTTCAGAAGGAAAGCGGCTCTTGGAAAGGCAACAGTAGCATTCCTCTAGGTTTGGTTGCGTGTAACCCAACCGGCAAACCCAGAAGAGAACACCCACTACAAGCTTTTAGGGGCTTGAGATGTTTTTGTTTTTTCCCAAGGTAGCCTTAGACAAATCTGACCCCACAGCTAGTCTTAGTGCAAAGCGTTTAAGTGTTTGGCGACATCTGACATATTTGCCCTTTACTCAAATGATGGTAATATAGTAATATATATATATATATAAACATATATATATATATATACATGTATGTTCACATCCTAGGGTCTTTCACGCTGACCAAACAAGTGCAAGCCTACCGACAACAAAAAAACACACCCAAGAACGCCGCAAAAAGCAGATGCCCCTAGGCCACAGTCGATCAACCTTAGTGTCCCTTAGCTGCTCTTGCCCACCTCCCCCCCCCTTCAATGGGATGAACAAACGACATGAGTTAATGATTGAATATATATATATATATAGATAAATGGCTTCGGACATAGGGAATCGGAAATTCTCCCCCTTTTCAAAGGGGGAGAATTGATAAATCACTTAAAGCACACCTGCACAATAAACTGTGTTTTTTCTTTATTTGTTTAAAACAATTCTGTATGAGTATTACTTGGAGTCTGCATGACAGGCAAAAAGTCCAGGAGGTTCTTGGGCCCTTGTTTCGGGGCCCTCAGTCACCCCGAGGCTGGAGACAGGTAGGCCTTGTGCACCCGACTTCCCCGAGGTCTCGCCCGGTGCCGCCGTTGCTGGAGCCCACGGTAGATGAGGCGCGGGGAACTCGCTCTTTTGTCAGAAACTGCAAATTTCCTGAAAAGGGGTCCCTGGAATCTATAGCTTATGCGAGCTGGTTGCTCTTCTTTTAGTTGCTTATTTCGGACGGTCCCAACATGTTTTCGGTTTTTGAAGGTTGCTTATTTGGAACTGTCTGGACACCAACCAAAGAGGGAATAGCGGGACACAACCAGCACCCCGGTCTGAACAACTGCCTGCTTTTTGCCATGTCCAGAATCACAAGTGCCCAAAATGGGGCCTGGGTGCAGGTGGATCGCCAGTTGATGTTTCTTTTCAGTAACTGTGGTTCTGTTCAATTTCAACTGGCTGCAAAGAACAAACTTGGTTGTCACGCCTGCCATGATATGGGAGGATTCCAAGGTGTTCTCAGTTCTTCAATCAGAGCTGGTTAAAGCCGTTGCCAGGGTTTGTTGGATCAGCCCTTTGGCCCACCGCCCGAATGGAAGTGGAGGGCTTTTTCTGCACACGGGAGAGCTAGTAAACATCAGTCCTAAGCGTCCGGCTTGGAACCAGGCTTCAGGTGCCAAAATCCATTGATCGGAGCCTTAGCACCCCGAAGCACTGCTTGTTGGTTTCCGTTCAAAGGGGGATTTTAGATATGGGAAGTGGCAGGCGAGTTGGTGCTGGTAGGGTACCACAAGTTTACAAACACGGCTGATTGGGTTTGGGCACGTTCCGGGGCTTCAAGCCAAGGAAACCGCAGGTATCCTTTTCATACCTTGTACAGCGTAGAGGCGTAGCCAGGTCGTACTCCTAGACTCACTTCCTGAGTTCATGGACTTGAAGTTTTTTGGGAAGACCATTTTAGTGGTCAACAAGAACTTTGACTTTCTTGGCCCATCCATTCAGGAAGTGAGTAGATGTGTGGCATACCCATTGTGCCAGTCTGTAAGATGAACTCCTCTAATTGTTTGAAGCCCTTGATCAGTTTGCTGGTGCTCAGTAGGGAATGACCCCAGGTGTTGGGAATGAACCCAGCTTGCCCGAACGGAAACCATAGGGGATTTTTTGTATGGGGGGGTCATTCACCCATTCCCTGCTGAGAACCAGCAATTGAAACGCTGAACCCGCTCAACATCTTTACCCCTCCTGCCTCAAGGCTTACTGCAACCCATCTTCGGGCGTGTCACAAAGCCGGAAAAGAACTTCCAACATGGAAAGTGGTGCTTTCCTGTTGTTTCACATTCAAGAGCCACACACTTCCGAACCTCTAGTATGAAGCCCGAGGTTATTGCTTTCACAACATGTAGTACCCCTGAGTCAACGTCCGGCACCGTCTAAGACAGTTTTGAGCTTGACTGGGCTGTTGTTGTTGGCTGTTTCTGCAGGTTATCAAAGTCAGAGACGGGGGCTGTCTCCCTTCAACTCATCACTTGTGGTGTGACTTTGGTGAAATCATGGGGCCAGCATGACTAAAACGAACAAAGAGCACACTTCAATCCCTCACTTTAGTCGCTTTTGGATTTGGAATCAGAGGTTTTGGGGTATGTTGACCCACCGAGCCATAGCTTGTCGGCCCTTGCCGGATCCACACCGAGTCGCCCTGGCGATCATGACCGCCCCAATGTTTCCTTGTTCCGTTCGTGGGGATCATAGGTCCAGTGTCTTTTTCAGGTTTGCTTGGTCAGATGAGTTCCACCGGTTAGTTTGGCTTTATGCCCCATGTACCGGGGTTATGTTATTGTTTCCAACAAGATCACCTATGGTAGGGACCAGCACCCCCCAAACATGTTTTGTGTTTTTCCAACAGCTGACAGCTTTGGGGTTAGCAGCTCTCAGGGACAATTCCGGAGTGCAGATTTGTGGCGGTGGCTGGGCATTCATCCAATCGGCGGCGTGTAAAATCCAAGCGACATTGTTTTTACTGGCTCTCCCATGTTCAGAAGTGTGACTTCAGAGTATCCGGAAACGCCCAGCACCCCCCGAACAACTGCTTTTTGGTTCCCGTACCAAGGGGATTTTGGAAATGGAACAAAGCAGTTGCAGGTTGGGCAGGGCTCCTTAAAAGATACATGTTGCAACCATTTGAAAAACGGCTTTTTCCACCAAAATAAAAGTTGACACCACCATTTACAAGGCAATGTACAGGTGTATAATGCATCCGGATCCCTGTTGGGTTGGGTGCCCATCCTCCAATTTTCTAGCCTGACTTGGTTTTTGTTGCCGGGACTTTGGGCCAGGTCTTTTGGCTGACTCCACCGCAGCTGCTGTCGGAGCCCCTTTGGGACTACACCATGTGTGCGGACACCTCCCTAGGCGCTTTCGGCTCGCGCTTGCGCAAGCGCTCGAAGCGATGATCTGGGCAACGCAAACGGCGACCTCGCCAAGGGATTTGGGTAGGAAAGACTAGCGGAACCCCCAAAATGGTTGGTTTCCTTTTGGCGTCCATTTAAAACAACCCAGAATAATCTCAAGAATCCTGACGGGGTTGCTTCTTTCAGGTGGCCGAATTTTGCTGTATAGCAGTTTGCCCAGAATAGATGCTGTCTGAGAGGGATGCCGTGAAAACTTTTGTTTTGGGACCCTCGGCAGACAACTTGAATCAAACACCAGTGTTTCACAGGGTATTAGTGGAACAACTCTTGTTCCTTCCATGTGCTCAAGAATATGTTTTATTTCCCCTGTCAGTTTTGTTTCCCAGGTCATTTTTCTCAGGTCATTTTTCCCAGGGGGCGGCAACAAGCAAATGGAGGTCATGCCCTACATGAGGAATAAAGCTTACTTAAATCCCCCTACATCATGGGGCTTGACGTCATCCTCGTACTTCTCATCCCTATTTCAACTAATTACACTTAATTTCCCCTAGTGCAACACATTTCCGCAACTACGCTTATCATGCCTATTGCAACCACGCTTCTTTTTTGTTGTCACTGGGTCCTAAGACAGAGCTTTCGATGGAGTCCGATCGATTCGATTCGATTCGATCGGAGTCGAGTCGATCAGGGGCCGAAGTCAGAGAGCTGATCGCGAAGGCGGCGGGGCGCCTCAGCGTAGCGAGCGAAGGCCTCGAGGGCCGAAGCCTTTGCTTCGCTTTTCGGCTTTGCCTTTTCCCAGGACCCCCCAATGGCTGGCAAATGTTCTGTGGAATGACCTCCCAATGGCTGTTTGGGGGGTATTTGCCAGCCATTGGGGGGGTCCTGGTCTCTGGAGTCTGGCTTTGGGTTTCCGAGCTTCCCTTTGATCTTTGTGTTTGTTTGCCTGGCTGTTGGTTTTTGAAAGGAATCGATTTCACTACTGGACATATGTTTCTATGTTTTTCCAATTTGCTTAAGATTGTTGTTGATTTTCCCCGGTTGCCTTCTAGGTCCCCCAGTAGTGCCCTTTTGCCCTTTTTTGGGGGAGGGTTCCCCTACCAAAATAGACTACAGAGAAAAGTGGGTACCCTTAATCTACCCTTTTTAACTGGAGGACCTAGCCTTTTTTTGGGCTGAAGTCTACGGGTTTGACTCTTTTCTCCAGTTCCCGCCCCTCGCCCCAGGGCTTGCGGGGTAGCCTCGCCGAGGTGAAGACTCCTCTGCCCCCCGCCCAGTGCACCATCATCTACAGCGGCCTTGAACAGGACATTCGGAATTCGGGCACCGGAGCAAACCCCCCAATAGTGGATCAAAGGAAAGTGTAGAACGAAGATCACCCAACATTAAAATAAGTGTATACCAGATATAAGCCAGCTCATGTTAACGCAAAAAGCCAGAAAGCTGTAATCAAGAAAGATAAGCGAAGAATGGGACGGTCTTTAATGTAAGATAATAAGATAAGGTTTTGAACAGGTTTTCCGAGATGTAAGACATGCAAAATCCAGAGGTGCATCATGTGAACCAAAAAACAACCGAACCATTTGCAAACGGCGCCTTTTTTTTTTCTCCGTAAAAAAAATGAAACATACTTTCGGAACTCTCTGTGAACCAAAACAAAAACGAACCTTTCGCGATCGGCGCCCCTGTTTTTGGTTCCGGAAGCTCTCTCAGGCTCCGGAGTCGAAAGCCGTCGAAACAGCCGCGGTCCGCTGGACTCGGAGGTCACTTGGGTTCGGGCTTCTCAGTTCAGTGGACCCCGAGTCAATTTTTTCCCCAACTTCTTCTTTTTTTGAGTGGCTGCCCCACTCAAAATTCGGTCCAAGCCCCAAAAAAGGGTTCCATTTTTTTTTTGCCAAAATCACTGAAGAACTGAGGGGTTTGGTTGCCATGGTGATCAACGACTCACTTGCCCAAAGCGAATCGACCTTTTGAGCTTTTGGTTTCCCATGTTTGGTCCAGTTTTAGTAAAGGTCCCAAATGGTTAACCTTTTATTTCTTGGGCCTTTGGGCAACTGAGACTAGAAGTTGTTCGACATTTCCTGGCCAATCCACTCGATCGGACGTGAGTTCTGGGTTCTTGGCTCTTGTGGGAAGCTTTGGTGCCCTAAGCTGATCACCTTTTGCCAGGGCCAGGCAAGGTTGCTGTTTTCGCGTTAAGGGAAACGGTGTCTGCAGCCAATGTGGCAGCCGAGTGACCCTATAGGGTTCAACCCCCATGAAACGAATGGCAAGGACCCAGTTTAGATGATGAGACTCCCCAGGTACACAATCGTGGTTATATTAACCCGCGATTGTTTGAATGGTGGCCGGAATCAAAGGACTGCGCTTGCTCACTTGCCCAAGTAGATGTGGTTTCCGAACGGGTGTCAAAGGAGCTCGCACCTGATCCCGAGATTTCCTGTTGTTGACAGCAAGTTCTGCATGTGCTAGACCATAACATGTGAGTTGTCCCGAAAGAGGCCCACTCGCGCGTTTGTTAGGCTTCCTCTCGGATTAAAAATCCCACTAGAAGAGCGGCAAGAGCCCAACTTGGATGACAACCCTGAGGTAAACAATGGTGGTTTTGTTGGCTCATTTTTTTAAAGGGCGGCAACTGAACCCCAGGGTTCATTGGGGTGGCCGTTTGGATCGCTGGGTAGGTTCATGAGGGTTCCAGGTCTTGGTGAGCAAATTTGGCCGGGCTCGGCTCCGCAAACCTGAAGAGAACCCCAAGAAAGTGCAAGGAACCCCCCCCCCCAAAAAAAAAAGAAGAGCCAAACAAACAAAAGAAAACACAAGAAGAATCCCCAGAGGAGGCCCCATAAGAAGCCCTCAGGAACCCCAAGGAACCCCACTGCCACTGCACCCACACGAATCCCGCCTATCCCTCTACCCTACTTGCTATAAACTAGTTGAGCCAACCATGGTGCCCTTGCAAGAGGATTTGGTTTGCAACTGAATGCGGCCCATGATCCAAATGATTGAAATGCCGTCGTTGTTTATGTTTGTTGGCCTTCGTACTCTTGGATTGTAGTCTGAACCAAACCAACCAGATTCAGCCAAAGGTTTGTCAGAAGTAGGAGCCCTGTTTGGTATCTTTTTTTTGAAGGCGGCACATATCGGCGCCACCCGGGCCCAAAAGGGAAGTGTCCATGTTTTTGACTACACCCCACATGGTTATGGCCGCGCCCCGTCCCCTTCAATGAGGCGGTCCTACAAATGGCTGTAGTTCACAAAACCGGAAGTCCAAACTGGACCCCTGGCAAGTGGAAACATGAACCAAAACCTGCGGTTTGCCCCCTGCTGTTTGATTTTGAGCCACACCCAAATGGCGCAACAACAGGAACCCCACTCACTCACCCCCCCGGCCGTTCCCTCGAAATTTTCCTCTCGGGACTCGAGAAACGTGAGGATGCCAAGCTGGTGTACCACTGCGGCCTGACGCCAAAGAAGCTGCCAGAATTGGCTCGGGCGCCCAGGGCGCATGGCTTATGCCTGGGAGCAAGGAGGGCGCCGGGTGGATGTCACTTTCCTAGGGAGGTTCCGTTGGCATGGAACGGTTTCATGTCTGCTGACTGAGGTTCCTTTACAAAGGCTGAGCGGTGGCCCCAAAATTCAACTTGCCTCAATTAAAATAATGGCCTTGGGATCCAATTTGGATGAGGACAATCCTGAACCTTAAAGAATATTGGGCACATGCGTTGGTGACATATGAATCCAACCATGGTTTCCAGGGTGGAAACTGAGCCCCACAAACTTTGAACGTCAAGCAAAAAGACTTGGCTTCCTCCATTTCTCACTTCACGCTTTTGCTGCTTGGCGTCTTTTTGCTGCTCGAGTTCCTCCTGTCGCTAGACTTGGCTTCCTCCTGTCTGCTTGAGTCCCTGGACATTTGACGCTTCTTGGGTTTGGGACTACTAAAACCGGTGCATAGAAAGCGACTGGTGACGTTCGGTTTTCGGCCGAGCTCGAGCGAAACTTTCTTCCCCTTGGGCCGACGAAGCCGGCGGCATCACCGTTTGCTTCGATGGCCAAAGAGATGACCCTCCCTCTTTCCGTTTGAAAGGGGAAGCACCCGGACCCCAAGGCTTTGGAACCGAAGGAACCCCGTTTTCGTGCAACCATTGTCAATTCCAATTCGCTCCTTGGTGTGGGACCACGTCTTGCGTGAGATGATGAAGTTTCATTCTACGGGCAATGCGGCCATCTCGCGTTGGCATCGCGAGTTTCACGCAGAGCAGGATCGTCAACTTCAAGGGCTCGGCACGACGACGTGCGCTTTTCCTTACTTGGGCAACTGGAGGGCTGCGGCATGCGGAGGTCATTCGCATCCTGCAGCCAGTGTTTTTGCGCGAGACGGGGATTTGCAGCGAGAAGAAGCTGGGCGACTTTCTTGAGGCGTTCGTTGCATACTCCGTGATCTCGGGATCGCCGTATGTGAACGTGGAGCTGGGCCCTGAAACGTCGTTTCTCCTGGTGCAACCATTTCTAGGGCTTTATTTCAGAACACGAGAGACTCGCAACCTGTTGCTTGACGGGATGACGTTTAGCTTCCTTCTTAGTGGTTTGGATTGGTGAGCTTGGGGTCAGTGTCCCTTTTGCCCACAAGAGAAGAACCAGGGATTCAATTTCCCAAGCCGCTTCAACACACCAATTAGCGGAAACCCCAGGTTTGGCTTCGAATGTCCGAAAAAGTGTCCCGTTTTTGTTACAGGTAGTGACGGAAGTTGCTGGCGTGGGTGGTTGGTATGTTGTCTGTCAAAACGCCATTCCGACGAAACACAGCTTTGTCACCAGGACGAATATGGCTGTGTTTTTTTGGGAGGGCACCCCGGCGTAGAGGTTTTCTTTTGGTTTCCCCTTGCAACCAACCCAAAAGGGGGTTCCCTAGAAAAGGACACCTATATGGCTGTCTCTGTTTGGCAGGCTATCCCGTTTGGCGGCTGCTTAAAGAAGACATCACGGGGAAACCGGCCGGCGAGAAGACGACAGAACCCATTCGCGTTTTTTGTTCACCCTTCTTCAACTCACTGAGTTCCTGGGCTTGAGTCTTTTGGGGTTTGGACGACTTTGCTTGGTGGCTCCCAGCCATCCGGCTCCTTAGCTTTTTAGCTTTTCATTGCTTGTTGGGGTGTTCCATGTAGCCCACTAAAAGTTAAACTTTTAGACCGGGGATCTGAGGACAGCCTAGTTTGGTGGCAACCAACAAGTTTGGTCGCTTTCCTTTGGCAACCATTCACTGGATCGAAAGTGAGACGCCGATGAAACAGATTCAGATCGGGCCCTTGTTGCAGTCCAAGCTAGGAAACCGCAAAGGATCATGGCTGTTTCCAGAAAAGTGGTAGCCTTACGGCTCGCAACATTGTCTTAGCCACCAGGTACCCCTTAGTACCAGCCTCCAGATTGCGCTTTCCAGCTTGCAAAACGTCGACGGCCCATATGGAAAAGAACCCCGATCGACTTGTGGGAAAGGGTCCCGATTGACACCCGTGGCCGTATCACAACTTCCGGTGCAAATTGCGGAATCCGGAGTTCGCGCACTAATTGGGTGTGGGTGAAAATCAAACCACCAGGGGACCGCAGGTTTTGGTCCATGTTTCCAGTTACCAGGGTTCCAGTTGGGGTTCCCTTTTCTGACCCACAGCCTATTGGTGCTTTGCGGTTGGAGTTGAATGGTTTCCCATTCATGCTCGGGCTTCAAATTGTCAAGCCCAACGAATCCAAAGCGATCAACCATCCCTTTGAACCCATCCAAACCATCACCTTGGTCTTCCAAGGGCCCGCAAAAATAGGGTCCTTCTTGATTTTGCTCTTGGTTGAAAAAGGAAAATCAGCCAAAGGCCTGCTTTTTCAGGGTCCTGGAAGATTAAGGTCACCGTTCAAATTCAAATCAAGTTCATCCGGGCGACCTGACGGGTTACCTGAACCTCGGCAGGTCGAGCACAATCCGCAGATTGCCATAGAGGCCGTTGCGTGTGGTTCAAAAAGTGGTGGCAAGTTGATGTAGCCGGAGAGCAACTTCTGTTTGAAAGTTGTGCCGAGTGGATCATATTTTACTTAGATGAATATGTGTGTATAGGCGTACATATACACGTGTGTGTATATATATATATATATGTACAGTCAGAGTTATACTATGTATACACGTAACGCATTTGTTTAAATCATGTATACCTGGTGATACGTAATGATTATGATCCGGGAAACAAACAACCCAAACAACTCGTAGATGAGCAAGCCAGAATCGATGGCACAACTTTCAATTGTTACTGAGAGCCCTCCTGGAGGTGTCAGTTGCGCGGGCTTCACATTTGCTGATTGCGGCTTGCATCTTCCAGGTAAGAAACATATTCTATCGATTGGATCAGAGCCCGGGCAGCTTGGCCTTTGTACTTTTAAAGTGATATGGCCATGGGTCAAAACCCAGTACCCCCAGTGAAAATCCCAATCCCAACTAAAATAGACTAAAATGGGTGGTGCACTTATCCCAAAACGGGATCCCATTGGTTTTGAGCCATGCCCATATTCTCCTCACCCCCGGCAAAAAGGGGATCAATGTAAGGAGGCGGGTTTCAAGAACCAATCCCTCGGACAAAATTCGCGCACCACTGCGCCGATCCATGGGCATCGGATGCCTAGTTCGGCGACTGAAATGTGCACAGGATTTGTTGGAGTGCCCCGCATGGCCACCCGTGGTTTACCGTTGAAAAGTCATGTAACATGGTCATGGGAACTGGGCGAGTGAGTCCCCCATTTCCTGGAACAAAACAAGCGAGTCGAAGTGGACTCCTCTCGAACGCAGCCTACTCCACACCCCACCTCCTCCACTTGTACCCCAAATCTACCCCACCTCCTCCACTCCTGCCCCAACTCTACCCCAACTCCACCCCGCCTCCTCCACTCCCAGCCCAACTCCAACCCCACCTCCTCCACTCCCAGCCCAACTCCCACCCCAACTCCTCCACTCCCAGCCCAACTCCAACCCCACCTCCTCCACTCCCAGCCCAACTCCCACCCCAACTCCTCCACTCCCAGCCCAACTCCCACCCCACCTCCTCCACTCCCAGCCCAACTCTACCCCACCTCCTCCACTCCCGCCACAACTCTACCCCACCTCCTCCACTCCCAGCCCAGCTCCCACCCCACCTCCTCCACTCCCGCCTCAACTCCCACCCCAACTCCACCACCACCCTAACTCCCAGCCCAACTCCACCCAAAGCAACCCCGATGGATCTCGAGATCTCGCAGGTTTTGCTGAAGCTCATGGGGGGCTCGCAGATCTCCAACTACTTCACCGCGCTGGTGAACATGGAGATGAGTCTGCACTCTATGGAGGTGACAAAGTCATGGGGGAATAAGTTGTGGGCATTTTTGTTTGGATCTGCTCATTTAATTCAGCCCCCCTATGTGGGCCTGCCTTTTTTCAGGGCTTTTTGGGGGAAAAGCGGTTGGCAATTCTTGCGATCTGCTGAATTTCTCGGTTGCCCAGCGGATTCCGCCCTGTTCCCCCTTTTTGGGTAAGGGTTCCGATTCTGGTTAAAGACAACCAACCCCCAAAAAACGGTGCCAATTCTTTTTTCCCCATGTTTTGGCGATGATCCCACGAGGCGCCTTCTATTTCTAACTGTGCTTTGGACAAGTGAGAGTAGAAGAACAAAAGAGGAGCATAGGTGCCCTTTGGGTTAGTTTGGTTTCAGAAATGGATGGGTCTCCACAGGTTGCCTGGGTTTTATGCCCCATTTGCCGGGGGAACCCATTTGTTTGTCCAAATTGTGACCCATGAGCAGTTCAGTTTTGACGAACCCCGAACCATTCAGCGGGCACCTCCCACTCGTGGCTTTTCTGCAGTATCTGATGTCTGAGAAATGTTTGGCAGCATGCGCGCAGCTTGCGCTGATCCGCGCCTGCATGCCAAGAATGCTGCACTTTTGCGGCGCCCCCACGAAGCGCGCGCTGAACGCGGCGCGTCGGCCTGGTGCCATGTGGCAGCTGCACGCGCCACCCGGATGCGGAAAAACGCACCTCCTACTCCGGATGGTGCGATCCGTGCCGCGTCGCTCCATGCACAAAACGAACAAGACCTTCAAGTCTTCGAAGGGTCGATGGCCGCAGAAAGCTGCCCACGGAGCCGCCAGACGGCCGCCAAACGCTCTGCCCGTGGAAGCGCGGCGCCGCCAGCCGCTTGCGGACGAGGTTGCGGACGAGGTTGCGGTGCCCTTGCTACTGCTTGTTCCCATCTATGTCCCCCAGTAGTGCCTATTTACCCTTTTTGGGGGGAACTTTTCCCGTACTGAAATAGACTATAGGAAAAAGAGTACTCTTATTCTAATCTCTCAAATCTGGAGGACCTCGCCATGTTCACAATCACAAGTACGGTAACCAAAAAGCAGCTGTTTGGAACCCTGGCTCTTGTTTAAAGATACAACTATTGTCTCACTTGCCCAAAGCGAATCAACCTTTTGACCTTTTGGTTTACCATGTTTGTCGCAAAAGGTTAACCTTTTATTTCTTGGGCCTTTGGGCAACTGAGTTGTTTGAACGACCACCTGTTGGTCTCCCTTTAGGGCCTCTTACGTCTTTTGTTCTTTGACTCAGCTGCAACCAAAGCCAATCGACCTGAAATGACCTGTTGGTTTCCCCCTTTTTTCTTTCTATCGCTATTTGGGAACGGATCTTTCTGCTTTATCTTTTTGGGAAGCAGGCTGGATGGTCCCTGGTCGTTCCAGCCAAATCGTTGGCCCATATCTGGCCCAAAAGGTGAGCTTCCATGTCCAGGTCCCCGAGGGGCAAGTAAGTTGAACTATGGCGATGACATTTGATAGGGAGCCACTGAACCGCCTCACAAGCGGCTGGTGGACATGAATCCATACTCCACCGAATTCTGATGTCCACAGGGTTCCTCGTTCAAATCCATACCCATATGGCCCAACCCAGCAAAAGTTACCTCTCGTCAGACTTTGGGCCTGCGTCGCTTCGCCCCCGAAGCCAGGTGGTCAACAGATTGACAACTGCGGTGGACCTTCCACCGGAGTTTGTGCCTCGGTTAGCAGAGATGCTGCATTTGTTGCTCATTGTGGACACATGCGAACCAACCCACCAACAAACAAACAAACAAACAAACAAACAAACAAACAAACAAACAAACAAACAAACAAACAAACACAAACCAAACCAAACCAAACCAAACCCAACCCAACCCAACCAAACCAACCAAACCAAACCAAACCAACAAACAAACAAACAACCAAGCAAGCAAGCCAGCAAGCAAACAAGCAAACAAGCAAACAAGCAAGCAAGGAAGCAAGGATGAAAGGAAGCAAGGAAGCAAGCGAGCAAGGAAGCAAGGATGCAAGGAAGCAAGGAAGCAAGCGAGCAAGGAAGCAAGGATGCAAGGAAGCAAGGAAGCAAGGAAGCAAGCGAGCAAGCGAGCAAGCAAACACTGATATGCATGTTGCAGTTGTTCCTGACCACTTGAACACTGAATCGTCCATGGAGTTGTTTTTTCAGCTTCACGTTCGGGGGAGGTGCACCTGTACATCTCCAACTGCATATCCTCCTGCGAGAGCATCAAGGCGGACGTGGCCAGGGCAAACCTGGGCTCCGTGAAAGGGTCGCATGATCCCCACCCCCCTCAAAATGGAATTGGGGGTGGGGGAACCTCTGGAATTCCAGTTGTGGTTCCATTTTCTCTTGTATGGGAAAGACTAGATTAATGGAACTGAGGGCCCCCTCCCCCCTTAAGGCAGGGGGGATGTCGCATGGCCAGATACAGCCGAGGACCATATGGCCATTGCCCACTCCTTATGGACAGGAAACAAAAGGCACATATGACCATTTTTGGGGTAGGTGCACCACCCATTTTAGTCGATTTAAATGGGGATTGGGATGTTCACTGGGGGTACAGGCTTTCGACCTATGGCCATATTTCAGGCAACCCCTTAGTCTCATGGCCAGTTAGATGGTTCACGACTGGACATTTGTTTTACTTTATTTTCAAAGGGAACTCTGAACTTGGATGGGGAGCCGTTCTTATCTCAGGTTACCCTTAATTGCTGGTTTGGATTGGTGGGACCTGGAATCGAAAATATTTGCCCTGGTTCTTGACGACGGATGGGATTTTCTTTGCAAAGGTCGTTATAAATCTTCCATTTGCCTAAGAACATGTTGTGTTTCCCCTGCGGGTTTTGAAGGGAATCGCTTTCACTGGACGTAGTTTCCTTCTTTTTTTTTCCCATGGCTTGAGCAAATTCTTTGGTGCATTTTGCCAAGGGCTGTTAGGACTTTAACTTTTTGCCAACTTAGTGGGTTGTCCGTACTAAACCCACGAGAAGTTAAAAACTTTTAGCAGGGGTTTGCAGATTTCGCAACCGAGAAATGGAAGGACAAGTCTTCTGCCGCAGGACAAGTACATGCAGAATCGCCTTGTGCGCCTGGCAGTGTCCTCAGGTGAGATGAGGTACCTGTCATTTAGCTCTCCGACTGAATCGGTTCAACCAGCCATCCGGTCACTGAAAGCTTTTCAATGGTTTTAGTTGGCTTAGTGGTTGGGTGTCCATTCTTTATTTGTGGCTGTTTAACTGAAACTTTATGGCTATTTGGGTATGGGCCAATGAAACTATCAGGGGACCGCAGGTTTTAGCCCTTGTTTCCACTTAACAGGGCAAACCATTTTGGCGACCATTTTTACCCCCACCCATTTAGTACCGAATCTTTGGACTTGAGCTTTTTTTATTTGGAGCAGGTCGGATTTCCGTATTGGACCCACCAGAAAGAAACCCCTTCTGCGGAGGCAGGGTAGATTCCCCCTAAAGATTTCCGACAACTCTGTGCTCTAGTAGACGGTGTAGACCAGCATTGTGAGAATGTGTAGTGTGACAGCCATGAGCATTCACAGATGCTGGAGTGTTAGGCATGGCAGATGGTTATCTTCAGGCTCCTGACAGAAGTGTTGAAACCGCTATGCGGGTGTGCGTGTTTTGAGAGCACCCATTTTGGGCCCGAAAATGGATTTCAACTAACTTTTGGTGCCCGGCGAACCTCGGGGAACAAAAATAACACCAGACCCAGGAACAATAAAAACCATTCCGCCTTCTTCAACTCACTTCCTGCATTCCTGAACTTGAGTTTGGACCGTGTTCGTGGTAAAACAAAAGGTTTTTGGACTTCTTCTGGCCAGTCCACCGGAGAGTGAAGAGTCAAGGGGACAGTTTGGCTTCATTCTGCAATCTTCGCAGCGGCTGGGGAGGACATGGCTGGGGTTCAGTTCCGGAAGAATTTCCCATGGGGCAAGTAAGTTCGGAACTAGCTTGACACTTAGTGGCTGTGTGAGTGTGTGTGTGTGTGTGGGTGGGTGGGTGTGTGGGTGTGTGTGTGTGTGTGGGTGGGTGGGTGGGTGGGTGGGTGAGTGGGTGGGTGGGTGGGTGGGTGGGTGGGCGGGCGGGCGGGCGGGCGGGCGGGTGGGTGGGTGGGATGGTTCCTCTTTTGAAAAGACCGGATTGCTTAGACGTGATGTTGTTGCAAACTCTCCAACTGGCCCTGGCAGAACATCCCATCGAGGTGTGCGTGTTCCTGCAATCGCTGATCCGCAACAAGATCATTAACGCGCTCGCCTCAGCTGGACCATTGGAATATATCGGAACTGTCGAAGAAGGATTCGGTTTTCTCACCAGGTTAAGGCCCGCTAAGACTTGAATTTGGCTGCTCAAAGAAGCAAAGACAGGGATCTCTCCATTTCCTCTTTTGGACCTCCAGAAGTGACAACTTCAATCGAAACCACCAGTCAGTTGTAACTTTTGAAGGGGAAACCCAGTGACTCCTGAAAGAGCAATCTGGGGCTGAAAAGGCATGTTATGTGCTTTTGAATCGTTGGGGTGTCCCCTCCCTTTTGAGTGAGAAAAGCCTGACCGGATGCCGAAACAATCCGAACATGTACTTGCCAGGCAACTTAGAAGGGAAGCGCGGCACTTGACCCCTTCTGTTTGGTGGATATCAAGAAAGGGCCTACCACGCCACAAACCCCGACCAATAGTCCCCAAGGCTCAGGTAAACAAGCCTTATTAAAGCAAGATGAGGCCAAGCCAGCCAAGGGAGGCTTCAAGAATCGGGAGGATGGTCCATTTTTGGGAGGGACCAGGACAAGGGGAAACCCCGCACGAATCAACGCATCCTACTACTTAGAAAAATATCACGCACAGAAGTGAAGGATTCTCACTACAAGGGGAACCCCCGCTGCTCTATTCATCAACCAGGGCGAACCTTAGATTTCAATCACCTGCCCTCTTGTTAACATGAATTCCACCAGCCTAGGTGTCAGGAAAAGTTGCGCGTTGCCCTCCCTCTGGTTTCCCCCTTCAGGCCTTACCTTACAGGGCTCCTAAAAAGATACATTTCGCAGCCATTTGAAACATGGCGTTTCCAACACGAAAATAAAGGTTGAAACCTAAGGCCATGTTCAGGTGTATAATGTAAGGATCCCTGTGACGCTCCGGTTGGCTAGTCGGTTGCACGGGTCGACGTTTTTGTTTTGAACGGAGGCATGAACCTGGCACCAAAAATCGAATGCCATCCTGGATCGGAGGCTTCCAGTTGCTGAAATGAATATTTATTTGTTTATTGTGTTTTCCCCTGTTGGTGTCAAAGGGAATCTATCACTACCTGACATATTTTCATTTTTCCCGGGGTCTTAACCAAATGGAAGAAGGGTTTACTGTTCCAGCGAAATATGTTTCACGTGACCCTGATTTTGACCTGGGCCTTCTCAAAGTTTCCTCCATGTTCCCTTTTTGGAACCTACAACTTCCATTTGTTTAAGACGATTTGTGTATTTTCCCCTGTTGGTGTTAAAGGCAAGGTCCCCCAGCCAGGTGCCCTTTCTCTCCCGTTTCTTTTTTGGTTGGGAGGGTTCCCTTACCACAATAGACAAAAAAGAAAAAATGTACTCTTATTCTAACCTCTCTACTGGAGGACCTAGAAGGGATTTCACTACGTGACATTTTTTTGCAGGGGTCTTAAGCAAATGGAAGAAGGGTTTACTGTGGCGATGGGAGCCCCATCGCGCACCCAAGTCTCCGGGGAGTGGATGAGCGGATGTCTTACCTTGGTGACTCCCAGCCATCCGGTTCCTTAGCTTTTTAGCTTTTTCAGGCTTTGTGGGGGTTTCCATTTAACCCACCTAAAAGGCAAACTTTTGGCAAGGGATCTGAGGGCCCAGTTACATGTGCACCTTTGGACTGCTCCCTTGGCAATGTGGCAACTGCAAGTAAGTAAGACTTGTTTGCTTTTAGATGTTTCCTTTTTGGTCTTGCAACACGGGCTCACAGTTTGGAGTCGATGTATTTCTTCTGGGTCACCTTGCTCCGTTTTGGGGTCACTCTTTCAGTGCATCGCGTAGGGTCCAATGTGCGCGAATGAAAAGACTGCCTGGTCAAGCGGTGCACTTCGGCTGCGAAGTCCGGAAGATTTGTGTTCGCCTTTGGCACTTTTAGGTTTCGGCCAGAAAAATGTACAGCTTGCTTTCCCCTCCCCCCAACCCAACCCCAAACCTAACCCATCCACCCAGCCAAGCCAAAACTCAAACCCCAACTCAACCCCTGTTACCCCACCCCCCAGCCCCCACCCCCCACCCCTAACTAACCCCCAGTCAACCCCCACTTAACCCCCAAACCCAACCCCCCTCAAACCCCAACCAACCTCTACCCAACTCCAACCCCAACCCCCAAACTCCACCCCAAACCCAACCCCCACTTAACCTCCACCCCCCAAAACCCCACCAACGCTTTATGCGCGTCTCTCGAGGTCCATGACCTCTTCATCGAGGTGCAGGCCTTCTGCATCGAGTTCAGCCGGATCCGCGAGGCGCCGTCGGAGATCGGCGGCACGGAATCGGGAGGCAGTCCCCCCCGGAATCATCCCCACCCTACAACCCCAAGAACGTGGTTTGGCTGTGGGTCAAAAATAGGTGCCGAAAATGGAGCACTGGTAAATGGAACCCAAGACTAAAACCTGGTAAATGTCCCCTGGTGATTTAATTTTGACCCACACCCATTTTGTGTTTTCATTTTGCACGTGTCCAGACTCACAGGTCACTGAAACAAAACAGTTGCTGGGTTTTTACACGTCCAGACTCACAGGTCACGGAAACAAAACAGTTGCTATGTTTTTCACATGTCCAGACTCACAGGTCACGGAAACAAAACAACAGTTGTTGGGTGGGTGCTGGCTAAAATGGCGACATTGTTTCCCCTTGAAATGCATTTTGCGGAAAGAAACACCCAGAGCATCGAACCCCAACAATCTGGGTGAATTCTAACGACCTCACACAACCTCACCCTAAATGGTGGTTTATGTGGGGAATAGCCCCCCAACCACCTTATTTCAGGTTGGTGAAATATGATAATTCACCCAGAACAATCATCTCTTTGATTTGGGTTCAATTGGTTTGGTTCTTTGAACAACTCGCCCGGCCCCCTTTTGGAACCACTGCGGATGGACCAAATCCACGCCGGTCGGCGCCAGTTGGGATCGTTAAAACCCTTGGACTGGATGTTGAAACCACCCACCAGCTTCCATTTCCATTTGCCTAAGATTTTTCCCCTTGTTGGTTTTAAAGTTGGAATCGATTTCAACACTGGAAATATGTTTCCAGGAAGCCAGCTTGTTCGAATTGGATTTCGGCCACTCACAGTATCACTGCCCAGCACCCTCCGACTGCCCAATCGACGGTATAGTTCGACTTTAAAAGAAATGGGTGTGGCTCAAAATTAAACAACTGGGGTTACGCAGGTTTAGTCTTTGCTTCTATTTGCCAAGGTGTCATTTTGGTACATGTTTTTGACCCACAGCCAAATGACCGTTGGGTGGAGCTCTGTGATGGAGCATGACCTCGGCTCCACTGACTTTGGGGACCTTAAAACTTCCCCCATCATGACTTGATATGGGTGCCCCGTTTTTTTTGGGGGGCACCCCAAAAAGGCGGTTTTCCTTTTGGTTTCTCTTTAAAACAACCAAGAAGTTGTACCCTACAGAAGACGCAGCCTCTTTTTGGCTTGGGTGTGGCCAAGCCAAACAGGTGGGCTGCAACCCGAGTGACCTGAAGGCTGCGCACCCACTTTTCAACCCTCATAAACTCGTTTGGATGAAGCTCGGCCGCGGCAACTTTCCTGGGAGGTCCCGTGGTTGCTGAGGTCCCATGATTGTTTTAATTAAGAGGGAACCAACAGGAGACGCCGAAGCCCATGGTAGCCCCTCACTTCCTGAGGACTTGAAAAAAACTGTTTGGCCCATCAACTCCGGAAGTGAGAAAGTCATATGCTCACTCCGCGAGTCGACCTTCTAAGACCTTTTGCTCTTTCCCCTTTTGGTCTATGTTTAGTCAAGGTTCTATATGGTGATCACAACTGATTTCCAGGCCCTTTGGGCAAGTGAATTTGAGCAACCTACAACAATTGATGCGGTTTAGACTATGAGCAGTTGAGGCTTGATCCATGCTTTCACCGGAAGGAATGCTTGACCACCCATCCCCTAATTCGTCTATGGGCTTCCCAGACTTTCCGGAGTTGAGTGCTTCGCTGAGATCGGAGTAAGGTGGGATTTAAGATGACCAAACCTCCAGGGATGAACTTTGGCAAGGTGGTTTTTGCTGTCTGCCAGTCACCATTTTCGGAGTCCCTCACCTCCAAAAGTGGCGATCGCTTCAATGCAACCCACCAGTAAGTTGACACTTTTGGAAGGTGACATCCAGTGACTCCTGCACCATTTTTCCGGAATTATAGGTGCCGGGATTTCAGGGGAAATCTAATCACCCCTGTCAAAGGGGCAAAGGAAAACGGATGACATAGTGCCGCAGCTTTATTTTTCCGCAAGCCTCTGCTTCCTTTGCCGCAGGCGGCAGCCCTGTTCCGCATGCTGAAAACCCTTGAGCAGGGCAATGCGCAAACGAAGTGAGACGAGTCGATCCGATGGCCGAAGCTGCGGAACGCGCATCGATACCCGTGTATCAGTTGTCCAAAGCCAACCTTTTGACCTTCTAAGACCTTTCCCAGTTTGGTCCAGTTTTAGCCATGGCCCCAAAAGGTGATCACCTTTGGTTTCTGGGTCCTTTGGGCCAGTGAGGTGGTCAGGGCACTTCTCACTCCGGAGCGAGAGGTTGGAAGGAGGCTTTCGAAGGACGGAGCGTGTATTTTTTTGGGCATGAGAGGTTGTTTTTGTTGGTTTGGACATGTTTTACATTTTTGCTTATTGTGGTTTAGTGGGAAATCCTCACTTAACTGCTAAAACTAGAAATTTGTTGCTCCCCTTCCGACGTCAACCAAGATGAAGCCCTTGTGGGGGTTTCAACCGGCCTCTTTGACTGATGCCGGGCCGAGCCGATGCGCGCGTCGCTTCGCAGTGCCTTTGGCGCAGCTGGCGTTGACCGGTTCGCGATGCCCCGCGGCCAAAGTTCATGAGAAAGTACCTAGTCTAGGTCCCCCAGTGCCGTTTTACCAACTTTTTGGGAGAGGGTTCGACTGCAGAAACAAAATCGGGTACCCTTATTCTAACCTCTCTACTGGAGGACCTAGTAGTTGTTGTGTTTTGTTTTTTCTTATGGACCTTGAAGGGGTGCTTATCTTAGCGACTCCCTGCTATCCCCTTAGGTTTTTAGCTTTTTAGTGTTTGGTGGGGTTTCCATGTAGCCCACAAAAAGTTATTCGCTGTTCGCGGGGATCTAGGAATGAACCCCCAAAACCCTCATTTGCAAGGGACGGATTTTCTTCTTTTTTGGCCCGCTTGCCCCGGGCACAGGCAAACATCCTTCGCGCGATTCGGGGCCTTGCAAGCTTGTGGTGTCGCCTTTGCCCTAGGGTTCAGCCCCCATCAAGAGAATGGCCTTGGGACCCAATTTGGATGTGTTTGTTTGTTTGTTTGTTTGTTTGTTTGTTTTTTTTAATGGTGGGAACGAGGGGGTCATACATTGCTCAGTAAGCGGCTGGGTTTCCAACTAAGCCATTTGTGTTGAATGATGCCATCAACCAGTTTGGTCTTTTTGAACCAGGGGGTCATGCATTGCAAAGGGGTGGTTTCCTGTGGCCACTGGCTGACCACGTGGGGCAGCGATCCGATCCGATCGATCGCCGAGCGCAAGTCTCACGATCAAGTTTAGGCGCCGGACCCTGATGTGTTGATCGAGTCTGCGTGAGGAGTCTCCATGACCCCTGAACAAATGGTTGTCTCTTTCTTCAGCAGTTTCTTGGCTGTTTTTTGGGGGGACCCACCACCCTTCTGGATACGCCTTAGGTATCCATCAACACATGACGAGTTGTTTTCAGCGCATGCGCCACGATTCCGCGTCACGCTGCTTCGGGGGACTGCGGGTGTCCCGCCGAAGCGACTCTCAGTCAGGGTCTAAGGGCGAAGTGCAGAGTTGGGGACCCAGGCAGGGCCGCCCGGCTGCCTTCCATTTGCTTAATCTGGCTGTGGATCAAAACCAATGTTGCCATTTTGGGGCAGGTGCACCACCCATTTTAGAACCTATTTTAGTGGGGATTGGGATGTTCACTGGGGGTACGGGATTTTGACCCATGGCCATCTCAGTTGTGCAAACCGGATCGACCTTTTTGTCTTCCCTTCTTGGTCTATTTTCGTAGAGCAAATGGAAGTTTAACCGACATCTTGTGTTCCCAACGTTTGACCTTTGCGTCATTCCGAAAGGGTCAACCTGTCAATTCCGGGTCCGAAAAACCATGAAAAAACTGAGCCCAACTCAGCTCCTGATTGTTTTGATTTCCTTTACTGAGTTGTTTGAGTCGCGTCACGTGCAGAACTGGCGGTGCCTGGAGTCTTTCCACGGGAAATGTCGAACGTGGCCTGGCAAAGGATCACCCGGCCACGGAAAGGAAATCGAGTGCGCGCGCGAGCGGGCGAGAGGTCCGGCAGCCGGCAGCTGGAGATGGGATGGGTTTGATCTCACTTCCCGAGCGCCGGTACTTCAGCTTTTTGGGTTCGGACACTTTTAGCGGCAAACAACAGTACATTGTTGTTGTTGGGAAGCATTCGACATGTTTGCTTATTGTGGTTTGGTGGGATTCCCCACTGAACTGCTAAAAGTGAAAATTATTGCTCCCCTTCCAACGTCAACCAAGCTTTGATCTCACTTCCCGAAAGCACTAGCTGGACTGGAGTTGTTCTACCTAAGCTTTGAAGAGAGCAATCAGGGGGTTTTTCGGGGGCGGGACAAAAAGAATAGTGGCAAACAACAAGTCCGGATTTGTTGTTGGGCAATCCACTCGGGAAGTGAGCGCCCTTTGTTTACCAGGCTTGTAATATATCGCACATATGACAGGAGCCTTCGCGAACGTTTGGTTCCCGTAGCCTGGGTTTGCTTGCAACAGGTGATTCCCAAAGGCTCTGGCTATAAACGGGATAAACCATAGCTTCCATTTGCTGAAATGAATATTTGTTATTTTCCCCTGGTTTTAAAGGGAATCTATCACTACTGGAGATATATTTTTGGTGGGCAGAGGGCTGAAGCAAATGGAAGACAGGTGATTCCCTGAGAACTAGGAGTTTGAAAGACTTCACCTGTGTTTCATTAGGTTTCCTTTCCAATCCAGAAAAGGTCACTTGGAGAAGACACACCCAAGTATGGTCCAAACCTGCCAGTGGTTGTGTGGAATCCTTTTTGAGTGATGTACTGCTTATGAGCATGGGAATCTCACTTTGTTGTCTCAGGACAGGTGCGTGTCCTCAACATATTTTTCCAGAAGACCCAATTCTGAGGGATGTAGGAGGAGAAAACCGATTTTTGCTTCCCCCTGGTATAAGAAGTGTTGTTTCTTTCCCCTGCCTTTGATTGAAAGGGAATCTGCCATACATAGACACATATATATATATATATAGATATTCAGGGGACTTGAGCAAATGGATGGTTTAGGTGTCGCCTTTCTGGGCGGAACGCCCTTTTTGTGAGGGATTATATGCAATATTTGCAAGGTGGTGGTTCAGTTTGCATTCGGAAAGCGCACACTGCGAGTGGGCTTCGATGTTTGGTTATCATTGACCTTTTGGTTCCCCCTTCGATGCATGTCTTCCATTTGGTCAAGCATATTTTTCTTTTCCCCTGTTGGTTTTAAAGGGGATCCATTTCACTACTGGACATGTTGTGTTTTTTTTAGGGCTCCTTAAAAGATCTCCATTTTGCTTGCCCATTTGAAACATGTTGCTTTTTTAACACCAACAAGAAGGTTGAAATCAGCATTGACGAGTTGCAATGTTCAGGTGTATAATGCATCCGAATCCCTGTTTTTCTTTCCAGGGGAGTTCAGCAAATGGAGTTGATGTTGGTGCCCCCTTCTGAGAGAATTTCCAAAAGGAGAACACGCAACTAAAAGGAAACCTGAGAACCAGCACCCGGGTGACTTGACGGCTTTTTCTTGACGAGGCAATGGGTAACGGATCTTGAGACTTTTAACTTTTTGGTTGAAATCAAGTTGCGTTTTCCACTAAACCGCCAACAAGTTGAGCACTTTTCGCAGGGGGATCGACAGCAACCAAGTTTTGGACAAATGTAGGTCAGAAGTACGGTGGCCAAGAAGCAGTCAAGTTGGAACCTGGGTGCTGGATATAGCGGTTGAGGGTTTCCACTGTTTCATGCTGGATCATTTTCAAGCTTGGGAGCTTGTTTAAGTGGGATGTAGGAATTCCCTGCCGTGTTTGCGACTATGCTGGGACGGTTAGCCTGCATAAACTGCAGAGTACACGAATTGGTTAGTCGGTGAGGCCCCAATTTTGCGCAAGGCAAGGGTTCCTTTAGGAGCAGCCCTTGCTTTTGCAACTGGTTTTGCGTTGCGACCTTGAAAATCCATACAGAGGCTTCCGTTTATATTGGGAGGTTATGGTTTCCGACTGGTGTCAAGCCACATGGTCAGGTGAATCTTGTTGCTTGCTTTTGGCTTGTCTGCATTTTCTGTCTCTGGCTCAGGGTATAGCCTCAAATTCGCCATGAGCAGGACACCAGCCGCGTATCAAGCCTTCAGCGCCTGTCTCGAAGCAAGCACATAGCACATACTCTTGATTGGTCAGGCGCAGACGCGACAAAAGCCACCCACGAACAACAAACGGACGCCGTTTTCGACTCCGTTTTCGAGTCCTCTACGAGTACGTGTCTTTGAAGAGCCCTTCCGTCGCCATGCCCGTGACTCAGTCGGCTGGTAAAAAATCGGTGAGCCCTGGGCAAGCACCGAGAGTTCACCTGTGAGAATCGGAGAGGCAGTTTTGCCACGCGATCAAGTCCTGAAAACCGATTAGATGAAGCTCGGTAGGGGATAAATCCAAGCTTAAATGTGTGGCTTCGCCGCCGTTTTCCATTCTTGACATGGTTGTGGGTAGACTCTGGGTAGACCATTTTCATGCCAGCTTTTTGATGATAGCTCAGATTGAGTTTCATGGGATCTTGCCAACTCTGCACTCAATGCATGTTTCCTCCACTTCCCGGCGATATCCTGCGAGACAGAGTACGCATCGTCCACCGCAATCCGCACATTGATTCCTACTTGAATGTGGGTCACCGTTTTGGTGAATGTTACCCATCTCCCTGATGTATCCTCCAAACATCAATTAGAGGGAAACTGATATCTGAGCAACTATGAATCAGAGCAATCTTACCCAGCAAAATGAGCTCACCCGGCAAAATGAGCTCACCCAAAGAACTTTGCTGGGGGGTTGGGAAGCTTGTATTTTTTTAGGTGTCCTGTTGATCGGTTTGTTTGCCTGAAAAGAGATGGGTTCCATTAGTTTAGAGGTGTTTTAGGCCCCATTGACCTGGGAAATCCATCTATTTTTCCACAACGCCACCTGTGATAGAAATAGAACACCCCCGCCCCACCACTCCTGTCGTCCAAGTCCAAATTCACTGTCCAAGCAGCAGCTGGGAAGCATTGAAGTTTCTTGAGATGTCAAGCAGCTGCTTCCCCTTGGGCAGCCGCTTGATGAGCGGCTTCTTGTATTCTGGACTGCCAAGTGGCCGGTTT